TATAACAGATTTCTGCAGATGCTTAGATTTCTGGAGATGGAAATGAGTTCTTGGTGGAGGATTTCAGAATGTCTGTGTGTGCTCATCCACATCTTCAAGCATTGAAACACCTTTAAAAAACACACTCTTTGCTATCTGTTCAGTAAAGTATTTAAGCATATGAACAGTCCCGAGGGCTGTTTCTAACAAGCAATGCAGGTGACTTTCGCAGCAATCACCCAAGTGCCGTGCTGCCGTGTGGAGCTAGGAGATAGTTCTGATCTAACAGTGTAGAGGTAGCCAAAGCTGGTTTTCATCTGCACAAGCCAGCCGGTGATAGAGACAAAGCTTTTGCCACCTTTACAAGGTAGGTATACTTTAAATCTGTGTAACTTTTCTGGATTGAAAAGCTATCTTCTTCCTAGCATAGGGAAGCCAGAAAAGTCTGCACACATGGGTTTCGTTTGATCTCAGACAGTAATTCATTTCACAGACATACACATCTGCAGGCACACAGATGAAAGGCACCATGGCTTAAGTGGTATATATCTAACTCTACTTTTCGATGTGGTATTCTGCTCATAGGAGAAGATACTCTTTCATTCCACAGCTGCCACTGAATTGTCGGTATAGTAATTGCTAGCTGAAATAATGGCAAATTGACTCATGCAATCATAAAAGATTTAAATAGGATGAAAATTGCTACTGCATAGATTACAAAAGAAGACTCCGAAACCAAGTCTCTGAGACAGAAAGAGAGAGAAGTATGGTATGTTGGGGTCTCTCAGGTTAGAGCAGTCTTTTGTGGTGGAAGGCTTGAATTCGGGGTCTGGCTGTGCCACAGTGTACCAGTGTGTGCTCTTCAGGACATGATTTTGTATGCCTGCTCCATGGTTGCGTTTCCTTGTCTGTATCCTGACAATAACATTACTTTCATTTGTCATGCAGTGGTGGAAGGAAGCTTAATTAAAGAGTGTGTTTAAAGTCTTGGAATAACTCAGCTGAAGGGTGCTATGGAAGGAAAAAAAATCTAGTTATTTTTGTCAGTCAAAAGCATGAGTGAACGTATGAGAGAAGGTGTGTACAATGTAGAGAAAAGCTGAAGGCACATGGGCCTTCAACTAATTTATTTTTTTACAGTTATTTCTTGTAATATTCAGCGTATGCCTAACAGTCACATTTTTCCAGATTGCCTGGTTCTCGAAGCATTGCTGTCCTCAAGCTCTTGGAATGTCACACAGACATTTCAGTTGAAAAAGTAAGAACCTGATTCCTGTTGAAGTTCATTGAGGGTTTTATGTATCTGTGCGGGGAGGGGGCTGAATCATTCATTTTGGGGAGTATTTAGTAAAGAAATACATTTTGCTAAAGATAGTCAAATCCCTTTTCTTGGCCTATTTCCTTCTTCTCTTGTTTTATTGTCCATAGAAAGCTAGTTTTTCTAATGACTCTTTTATTTAACGGTACCCTGGCAGCTAGCCATAGAAGAGTCATTACAATGACTGAATTTATGACAGCCTGAAGAGATAATAAAGGATGTCACAATGCCATTAAAATCCTCTTGTCCTTGTGAAAAAAAAAGGTGGGTCCCTGGTAGTCAGGAGAAGACCTAGATCAGAGGAGTCAAAAGAGATTCTGTAAAAGTCGCTTTATGAAGCTGTTTTTTAATGGAGCCAGATGCAATTTAAGTATGGTCTATGGCTATTGTGAATACAATTAAACCAGAAAGTAGCATCTAATCTGCTAATAGGAATAATGAATACCTATTTTTCTGTACACATTATTTTTCAGAGCCACACTCTTTGTTAAGAACTCTCAGTAGAAAGCATTTGTGCCCAGTACATGGCCTAACCCGTTATGATATGTGGTTGTTAAAATATAGAAAGATCTGGGTAACGTATGCTGTAGGTGACCACAGTTCTCCCATTCAGAACACACCTGCCCCATACAAAGAGACTAATCCTGGGAAGAAATTGAACTCCTGGTTTTTGAGAAGAAGTGTATCACTTCCCTGTCCCTGAAGCGACAGAGGGACAGAGCTTACTTTCTCTAAATCAGAGCATTTCTCAGCATGTGTGGAGAGGGCCTGTGCTGCTTTTGGCTCTCCTCCATGCTGACAGAGGCATTGCAAGGCAAGATAGGGACAAACTAGTATCCAACAGTTTTTTCTCTGTGAAGTCAGTAGCAAACTAGCAGTACTTACTAGCACTGCATACACAGAACAGAAGTTCAGGCAAGCTGTGAAAGAATCAGTGATCATTTTCTGCCCTTTTCTGGTTAAAAAGTACTATCTGTCCACATATGTACTGGAAAAAAAACCACAGCAAAATGAAACCCAAAGTGTTCCACCTCTTTCATGCTTTTTGAAAATTTATGACACTCAACATCTCAGCATGGACTGTGTTTCATACTAAATTTGCCCTCAGAATACGCACAACAGAACAGTAGACTTGGAAGGTAAATGCAGGTTACGTGTTTTATGCATTTCATTACGTTTGCCAGGTTGTTCTTTTGCGTTTGTGCTTTTTTCTGTGACTTGAGATTTTACCTTCATGACTGAATCTAGATTGAATTCCTATTCTTACAAAAACTCTGTTTTCTGTGTTACCAGCTGCTCACGATGTATACACAAGGGTGAGTGTGCCAGCTGTAATTGGACACGTGTCTCTCCTGCCACCACCTGCCAGGTGAAGTTTGTTGGGGAGGACTGGAATCTCTCGTGATGCCTTTTCCTTGTATATTTTACTTCTGAGCAGGAATCTATCTCTTTCTTGTCCTGACATGGAGAAATGCTTTTTCTTTTTTCAGGATAGCTGTAATGCAACTGCTTCTGAGGGGATTGCCACTGCGCAGAGAACAGAGGTTAGTTAGCATTTTAAGATCAGCGTTACGGAGGTTCTGTGGATTGGGAAAGAAATTTATTTAAAATTAAAGGACTGTGCAGGAAAAATAGAGAAATGGTTGAGAAGGCAGTAAGTTGGTTGCACAGAAAGGTAATGCGGAACTTTGACTGATACATTTTTTTCTTAGTGGTTTGTCAGTACTTGAAGATACCAACAGAGATTTGCATTTCAGATTCCAGCACTGAGACAGTGAACACTGCAATAGTCATGTGTCTACCTCTAGATGCAGTATTTACAATATTGCTTTAAATTCCAGAGTTCCTGTATGCTGTATGTAGGTAATTGGCAGGAGCCAACATGCTGAGGGTTGGGACGTGTAAGCTGACCAAAGCCAAACCAAACCAAAAAAAACCAGAGGAGAATATCGTAGTCGTCTTCTCTTATCTAGACTTAAATATGTGTTTGAGTTCTGCTGTAACAGACAACGCTGTGAAATGAGGTTTTGAAGTCTCAAACCTCTCCCTCATTTTATGCAGGCAGATCCCATCTTCTCCTGAAACATATCTGCCAGGGGAGCAGAAGGAAGGGGAGGATGTGCTGCCCAGTTTCTCAGTGACAGATGAGTGGCTAGAGGATGCATCCAGGAACTGAAATCCCTGGGTGTTAGTAAATCCCTAGTTCACACTTCCAGAAAAATTTTCCTTGCTTCCGGGCTGTAGACAAACTTGGAGATGGAGCTACTCTCCATCCATCACGCTCAAGCTGGATCACTGGAAAGGAAGGAGTGTTGCTGGTGCCGGAATATTTTCTGAATCTGGTTGTTGAGTTCTCGACTGAAATAATATAGACCGTATGGGAGCGTACAGCCTGTATGATTTGCCCTGTTGGTCAGCCCTTTAACCTTTTGCCTGCTCTTTTACCACAAGGTTATCCCTTCATTCTTTATGGTGCCAAAATGGTTCTATTTTCTCATAAAACTGAGTGATCTTGTCATCAGTGGTTGCTTATGACATGCAGGTGTTAGGAAAGAAATGAGTAGTGAAGAGAAATTTGACTGATGAGTAAGTATATAGAGAGTTGCTGCCTACACTTTTTGGTTTCTGCTTTTCTGTGAGTGATAGCACAGTTGGTATAAATAGCAACTGTGTTCTTGTCTCTAAATGTTTTGTTAGATCTACCAAAACTTCTACCTGTGAAGACAAGAATTACCTCTTAAATTCTTTTACCTTGAAGACAAAAATTACCTCTTAAATTCAGCTGTTTGGCTGAGCTTTCTTAAACAAAATTACAAAATCCATTTTGTTTTTCACAGAGACAAGTGGGATTGTGATACTTGTGCTTCTAAGCATTAATATTCAGGATTTGGTCTGCATCTAAAGCATTACGGCTGGTGAAAGAACAGAAAAAAATCTTCTTTGCTCTGCTTCCAAGTGCATTAATTTGACATTGGTAAATAGTTGGAATTGCCTGGGAGATGGCTTTCTTCCACATGCCTTATCTTGGAAAGACAGTGATGGACAAGGCAGTGAAAGCACTAGAGGCAGTCCAAAGGCAGATGTTTATTTAGAAGTGATTGATCCATTCAGAGGGCTTGAAATTGCATTTGAAATCATGCTCTCCTTTGACTGCTGGTGCTTTAAGGAGAGCGTACTGGAGAGCCGAGAAAGGGGATTTGTGTTTTCCCACAACCCCAGCTGAGCATTTAGATTAATATACTTTTTTCTCCAGCAGCAGCCCCAGCCCTCTTTCTGCCTCCAGCTTCTGGTTTCCATGCAGAAACCTTCCCCCTCCCTGCACCAGAGCGGGAGTTCGAGTGGTTGCATGAGTACGCTTGGCTGAGGGGCTGCTTTGGCTGGAAATAACCGTTGTCTTTCAGTAGGTAATTTTTCATTGGGACCAGATTCCTGCCCAGTTCTTCACTCAGCCCCAAGGCCCCGTGGTAGCATCACAGGAGGGGCTGTACTGGAGCAGGACAAGCTCCTGCAGGGTGGCAGAGGCTGCTTAACCTGGGACCTGCTGGATATCTCTCTGCCACCTGCAGCTATGCTAACCACACCTCTGAGGATGTGCCTGCCACTGTTTACACATCCCTAGGGAAGCTTAGGCTGTCCAGGGGATGGAGGAGGGCTGCAGCTCAGAAATGTGCATCTGTATTGAAGTTGACAGGGTTGTGCTGATTTACATTACCTGAGGACCTGGTGCACACTTTCTGTAAGTCTCTCTGTTCTCGTCGCATGCCTCACAACTAGTTATTTTTGTAAATATATTTCTGCATCTCTGCTCTCTCCCTTCCCTCTTGCTGCTGGGCATCTCTCCCCTGCCACACAGTGACTGGAAGGTCAGAGGCTCTCTGGTGCTGGAGAAATGAGCATTGCAGACCCCAGAGAGGACACTTGGTCAGTGAGGAAATTCACAGTTTCTTTTGCTGCTGAGGAAAGTGTCACAGACCATGGCAGTCAAGCAGTCAAAGCAGACTCTCGAGGAGCTGAGGCCAGTTTACCTCAGTGACTGCAGCAATGCCACATGTCCAAGGCAAGATGTGGTGAGCGAGTCCATGTTGTGCACCTGCAGGGAGGACCAAGTGCAAGATCCTGCACCTGGGTCGGGGCAATCCCAAACACAAATACAGGTTGGGGGATGATTTTATTGAGAGCAGTCCTGCTGAGAAAGACTTGGGGTTTAGATGGGTGAAAAACTAAATAGGAGCCAGCAATGTGTGCTCATAGACCAGAAGGCTAGTCCTATCCTGGGCTGCATCAAAAGAAGTGTGACCAGCAGGTCCAGGGAAGTGATTCTGCCCCTCTGCTCTGCTCTCACGAGACTCTACCTGCAGTACTGCATCCAGCTCTGGGGACCCCAGCATAAGAAGGATATGGACCTGTTGGAGCAAGTCCAGGGGAGAACCACTAAGATGATCAGGGGGCTGGAGCAATTCCCTACAGGGACAGGCTGAGAGAGTTGGGATTATTCAGCCCGGAGAAGAGAAGGCTTCCAAGAGAACTTATAGCGGCCTTCCAGTGCTTAAAGGGGACCTACAGGAAAGAAGAGGATGAACTCTTTTTCAGGGAGTGTAGTGGTGAGGTGAGAGGTAACAGTTTTAAAATGAAAGAGGGTAAATTAAAATAAGATGTAAAGAATAAGTTTTCACTGTGAAGGTGGTGAGACACTGGAACAGATTGCCCAGAGAGGTGGTAGATACCCTCTTCCTCGAAGTGTTCAAGGCCAGGTTGGATGGGGCTGCGATCAAGCGATCAACCTTGTCTAGTGAAATGTGTGCCAAGGCCCCTGCCCATGGCAGGGAAGTTGGAACTAGATGATCTTTAAGGTCCCCTACAACCACCATATAATTTCAGGAGGGACTGAAACTTCCAGAGTGACCCGTACTTCCTGTGATTTCTTCTTGGTATTAGAAAAGAAGTAAGGCAAGCTAAGCTGAGGTGCTCCATGGTGCCTGGCAGAGAGACCAGCGGGAGCCCTGAAGCGCTGTGGCATCCTGCTACATCCCTGGACAGGAGGTGTCTGGTGTTTCCCTTACCAGACCTCACAGCCCTCATACAACTGTGAGAGATTTCTATGTGTTTGATGATATACTGTGTTACTGCCGTGCTCCAGGGCTCACTGCTGGTTGACAGTGAGAGCCCTGAAGCAGTGTTTTACTCCTTTCCATAGTATTTGACTTCTGGATTTGCGTGTGGGTATCGCCTGTCGTTGGTGCAAGGAGGCTGTGCACAAGCAGAGGGAAGGGATGCAGGTGGAGAAAAGCACTGGTGCTTCGCTGGCTTTAATTTTGCAGATTTCTGCTTCAGTTCTCCTGCTTGCATACTGAGGGTTAAACCGATCCCCAGGTCAAGGTGAATTTTCCACCTCAGGCTGTTTGTCAGAGGTTTCCTTTGTCCTCCTCCATTATCCTTATCAGAGGTCATCCTGGAGGCCCTTTTTCAGGCTCTCTGGCCCTAGCCTTTGCGCTCCCTTGCCCTTTCCCAAGGCACAAGTTGCGGCTTTTGATTGGTTGTGACAGGTCTCACATTTGCTCCAGAGCACTCCAGTATTCATCAGGCTGTCATACCATGTGGGGACAATGTGCTAGGGACCTTCCTGAAATGGGCAAAGGCTATGTTTGCAGAGAATTATGATGATGTGATCCTGGTGATCCTCTCAGGCCACCAGCTCAAAGTCATGATGCTGCTCTGGGTGCATGAGAGATTAGTGGGGAGAAAAAACGTGTGGGAGGTATTTTCCTAGAATCATTTAGATTGAAAAAGACCTTTAAGATCATCAAGTCCAACCGTAAACCTAGCAGTGCCATGTCCACCACTAAACCATGTCCCTAAGGATCACATCAAAATGTCTTTTAAATATCTCTAGGGATGATCACTCGACCACTTCCCTGGGCAGGCTGTTTCGATGCTTAATAACCCTGCTGGTGAAGAGATTTTTTCCTAATATCCAGTCTATACCTCCCCTGCCACAACTTGAGGCAGGAGCTTTTTTTCCTAGAGGTTTTGCACCAGCATACTTCTCAGGGTTGAGAAGGCTGAACGACCCAGTGGATGTGTCCATGCGTGCACAGTGGAAACTGGGATAATCAGGGTACTTTAAAAACTCACTTTAAGCCAATCTTAGAGGCAGTCTAAAAGCAAACTAGAAATCATTTGCCTGAGAAGATCCCAAACAGTTTGTGGTTTCACATGTGTATTTTCCTGGGTTTTTTAATGTTTTCAGTTTGTTGTCTGAAAGAGACACGGAGAGGAAGCTGTCTGTGTGATTATAAAACCGGGGAAGCAGCAAAACTGATTAAACATGAGATGCTGTCAAATGAATCAAGTAAATACACTAGGGAAGAAATCTCTCTTCTTGCTCAGTAGTGTTAGTAAACTAGAATAAGTAAATATGAAGATAAACAAAAGCACAGTTTAAAAATTGGCCACATTTCTGCAGGGCTTTGACAGCATCAGAGTAAATAGGATTATTCTTAAGTGCTGGAAAATAGATTTGTAAACTTCTTAACATCAAAATGGGATACCAAAAAATCCCCACAGTTGTGTTATACCTTTAGCTCTGTGTATGCCTTTGAAAAGACTTTCTAGTAAAGCTAATTCTGGGACTCTTTCTTGACTTTTCATTCTAGGATTTGACCCTGCTTCCCCTTTTCAGGTCACAAGAGATGCCTTCATTTGTTTCTCTGATCTCTCACAGTGACTGCACCATGGGTTTTGTCTTGTGCTGTTTCTTAATTCTTGAAGGGTCACATAAAATGTATCATTTCAAGCTATTTTTTTATCATCCCTACCTTCCAGTATGTCAAGTTGTGATTCCTTTGAGCAGCGTTGTTATGAGATAAATTGAAATATGAAATGTGTAGATAAAAATAGTTGGCTTATAAAGAAGTGAGTGACAGTACTTCCCAGGATCAAGCTTAACAAGATTTGAAATTAATATGAAAAATATATACCAGTGCCATAAACCCCACATTCCTGTGCGGTGGTTGTTTTTGCAGCTGTTGTTTGACTGCCTAGCCTTTTTTAACCAGATTTTGTTTTGCTTTGTGTTTTGATAGCATATCAGCATTCATTCCATTGAACCTTTGTGGATTTCTACATTAGGCAAAAGTGAAATAACAGTCAAAGGAGAAAACTTCACAAATGCATCAGACATAAAACTGGTACTGACTGGAATCACCGGCTGTAAACCAGACATGTGAGTTAAGCTCTGAAAAATACTATTTACTTTGCATGGTGAAAGTTACACCTATTTTGTCCTACCAATACAGTTCTGTGAACAATTGTCACGGACATATCCTCAGCAGAGGAAGGGATGCTCTGTACTCCTCTCAATTATACATCCACTTCAAATTCCCAAACTGTCTTACTATTGTCTCCTAGCAGTAGTAAGACAGTTCTGTACCTGTCGCCCTCTGCACTTTGCAGCAGGCCACAAGTAAATAGGTCGCCGGAGTCTCAGCTTTTGTTTGACTCTGCTCTGCATCAAAATATTCCCCATATCTTCTAAGATTCTGCTTGTGAAAGCACAAACACCAGGCTAGGGAAGGAAATCTCTAATGCAACAGCTTGTGCTTTCCTCTGTTGATGATTGCACAGTGTATAACCCCCTACATAATTAGGCTATCTTATTCTGAATCAGTCATTTTCAGGTGCAGCTGCAATGGCTGCCTGTGGTTACCAAGCCCATTTTACATAGTTAGCACTTGAAAAAATATTCATATGGTACACTTCTATTTTTACTCCAACTGTAAATTTCCCAGGGACGACAGAAAACAAAAGGGGAGAAGAACAGAGAGAAAGTAGAGAAAAAGAGGAAGGAGTAAAAGGGAGGAAGGAGAGGGGGAAAAGGAGGATAAAAGAAGAAAGACAAAAGGAAGAAGAAAAGGAAGCTGAAGGTTCTGATTCCTGGCTATTTCATGGGCTATGCTGGTAGCACAGAGAGTACACAGCAAACAGCAAAACCACACGTTACGTTACATTACATAGCTTTATCCCAAGGCCATAACACCAGTGTCTGTACTGTCTTCTGTGATTATTGTGACATATAGCAACTTCAAAAGACGCCCTCCTTTGTCTTTTCAACTCCTTGCTCTATCTTTCCACCTCTGTCTGGCAGCTCAGAGAGAGATTCATTTCTCTTTTCTCCTTGTCCTTTGCTTTAGGTTATAGGCTTTGTGTAGTAACACTGGTGAGTGACATAGTGGCATCTGTGTTTCAGCTTCTGACTGTTTTCTTTCTCCTCCAGCATTAAAGTTAGAAAGGTGCTAAATGATACACAGATGACTTTTACTCTCCCACCAACACGTAAAGAGGCCAAAAGTATATGTATACAGGCTCATGGGAAAAAATGTTCACCGCCAATGACCCTGCATTATGTTTCACTGCCATCATGTTTTGGAATCACACCAAATACCTCCTGGATAAGGTAAATTTGTCTTTCTGTACTTTTTGTGTGTTTATTAAAATGTAATTGAACTGAGATGATATGAGCTTCCCTCCTTTGCAGGATTGCAGCTAGTGTAAACTTGAATGAATGCTGTAACCTGTTGTGGAGGATGAATTTACGCCAGTGAACTTATTTAACATTTAACATTCAGATAGGATCATGATAGCTGCAAGACAGTTTCCCTGTTCTTCAAGATTCTGTAAACTACTTCCTGCCCATTCCAGGTCTCCTTTGTAGAAGTCAAAAACAGTCTTTTCATACTAAAGCTAAACCCAAAATACGCATAGCATGCATAAATTCTCAAACTTCAGTTAACTTTGATTTCCTGATGCTAATATACCCTTCACTTTAGAAACAGTAGAAAGTATAAGTAAATTGGAAATGAAGTGAAAGTAATCACCACTGCAGTGATAGGCGCAGACTTGCTTTAGGACTGGGTTCCCTAAAGCCAGAAGAGCCCTTTTCAAGCCTTTGCTGTGTTCTGTGGCAAACTCACGGCTCCCGTGAAGGACTTACAGTGTAGTTTTAAGATATTCTCAGGCACAGTTTTCCACCTGTCCCTCTGCCTGCACAGTTTTTTACCCGCTTGCACGTTCTTAATCTGATATCTTGGTGTCAAGCACTGGCAAGCAAGGATTTGAGGTAATGAGTTGGGCTGGCAGCTGTAGCAGCTGAGCAGCTAGGATGCATGCCCTCATCTCCAGGTGAGAGGCAGCTCAGGCAGCTGGAAATTAATAATACTGTAAACCACTCCAACTGTGTTCAGCAGAGATCGTGAGCCAGAGCCCTCAGACACAAGCACCATTGTGTGTGCTGAGACAGATGGCCTGAACGCTGCCGCGAATGTTTCCTGTGAGGTGCCTAGCACCATCGTTTCATCCTGAAGAAGGCAAGAGTTAAGCACAGACAGGGCTGCGAAATACCGTGTTGCTCTGTCTTCAAGACAGAATATTAACTCACAGTCTAGTTCTTTGGCTGCATGAATAAGAAACAAGTGGAGAGTCCCTGAAAAGGAGTAAGAATGTGTATGCCCTCAAGTCATTTGTTTTTGTGGTAACAAAAGTATTTAACATTACAGTACAAGGAAAGAATGGAAGTACACTGTCTAGCTCAAATTATCTTGTCCTGCAGTTTGACTTTGTTATCTTGGCTGCTACCAAAGCATGAGTAGTTTATTCATGGCTGAAACCTTAACGCAGGCCTTACCTGTGGGAAAACAGATAGTATTAACCTCACTTCCCACCCCTTTTTGGTTTTTTTTCACAGTGGTGGTCGCAAAATTACTACGAGTGGTAGAAACTTTAATGTGGTGGACAGTGTGATTATTTCAGATGACCAGAGATCAAACCTTACAGTAAGTCTTATTCTCCTTTACAATACCAAATAGAGGTCTCTTGAAGGATTAGGTTTTGTTCCTAAGGTTTCGGGAGAATCCCAGGATTTTTTCAACACTTGCAGGCACACATCAGTCACCCTACTGAAATAAATGTGACCACTTGTAGGATTACAGTTGCAAACATTCACAGTGTGAGATCGTGGATACATGTAAGCTGCTCTCATGCATAATTCCCTAAGCCATTTTTTATGGTCTAGATACTTGTTTCAAATCTGTCCTTTTTGAGTCTCCCCAACCTCTATACATGGGTCTATTGGAGAAGGGGATAGTGTTCTTCTCTCTGGCTTCATGTTGAGAACCCAAATAGTGCCCCTGCCTCAGCAAAGGCTGGCAGACTGGAGCTGATACTGGGACAAAACCCTTTCTCCAAGGCTGTGAGGAGGTAGGCACCCTGTTGACTCCTGGGCTTGCAGCACAGAGACCAGAAAACAGCGGCACAACCCATGGAACAAGCTGTAGCAGCCCCCTCTCTCAGGAGTTAGGCTGAGGAGGGCCAATGCCCAGGGGTGCTGTCTTGCTCTTCTCTTGTCACCTGCACTGAGGGGAAGGAAGGAGAAATCACTGTCACTATTCCTGTCTCACTGCAGGAAATAGCTGCCTTAGCAGTGTGCAATCAGCCTTAAAGCAGCGTGCAGAGTGTGTGATAAATGTACTTAAAGGTAGACACAGGCTCAACACAGAAATTTTCCCAGGTGCTCTGCGTGCAGCCCTGATCGTAGAGAAGAAGTTTAGCAGGTATCTGTGTGAAGTCAGGAAGACATTAAAATGATTTTGAGTGCCTCTGTTTGTAATTGTACCCACTGTTGAGTACTTAATGACTGTTACAGCTTTGCTATTGCATTTCTAGGTCTCTAGGTGTCCTGGAAGCAAATCTGAATATCATTACTTAACACCAAGCCTGAGCCATGCAACAGAGGGTAAAGTTGTTGATATGATGTTAAAAGTGGAAACTACCTTTATACCGTGTGTCAAACTGCACTATCACCCTGACCCAGTGTTCATTAACTACCAGCTGCACACGGAGCTGGACCCTGATCTGGAATTAAAAATATATGTAAGTATGAAAGTAATAAATTATAATTCCATATTTAAAATGGTTGTTGGGGATCGTTTTATTTCTTACTGTATTTAGTGACTGTTTATTATCTTTATATTTTCCCTCTAGAAAGAAAATGACAACTTGAATATTTCTAAAACTGAAGTAGAGGTTTATCTGTCATATATGAATGGTGCACAGACCAAAAAGATATGGTTCAATGTCCAAAATATTACCAAAAAGCCAGACCGTAGCACCATACTGTGCAAATTCAAAAGGGAAGGTACAGACAAGATTGACTTTTCCACAGTGAAAGTTTTTGTAAGTATCATTCATTCCCTTTTGTGCCAATTTGGCGTGTTTGGTTGTTATACAAGTGTAGTGAAATGTAGCGTTAATGCTCTCCTCACAAATGCTCTTTATAGAGGGAGAAACTGGATGTGTTTTCCACTCTCGGTGCTGGGTAGTACAATTATCTTCTTCCTATCTAAGCATCCCTGGCTTGGGTACCACTAACAGTACTGAGATCATTTGCTGTCTGGTTACTGTTGTAGTGCCAGACTTAGGCTTTGCAGCCCAAACTGAGCTCAGGCTGCTGAACTCCAGGAGAGCAGTAGCTGCTCACACCTCTAGCTGCAGCACAGACATCGCCGATACAGTATCACTGGCTCCAGATCTTACCGTAGATCTGTAAGTAATCTGCTGCTTCACTGTGGCCTTGAGGAAGAGGATTGTGTCCTCCTGTTCGCTCTTTCCTACTAAACTACATAGAGATTGTGAACAGTGCATAGGGATTTCCACTGAAATGGAAGAGAAAGCATTTCTGGTTGAAAAAGGGGGTGAAATGCAATGTGCACTGGGAAGGCCAAAATGTTTTGAACATATGGCACAAACCTAAATATAAGAAATATAAGAATATTAGCATGGATGTCAAAGCTAAATGGCAGCTTAAAATATTTGCTCCATGAATAAGAAGAAGATAGGAGGTTTTTAAAATGCAATCATCACCATTTATGAGGGAGAAAAATTATGCCAGACTCTTTTTGCAGTGTGTGGTGGTATAAAACTGAAATAACTCTATTGACTTCAAGGCATATGGCTCATAGTAAAGATTAACGAAGCTATTCTCAATTTCATATCACTGTTAACTGATCCTCCATCTGTGGATCCTGCCGTCTGAGCCAGTTATAGCATGGAAAGCCTTTCTGAGACTGGTGTTGCATTTAAGTATTAACATTGCCTTGCAATATCACATGCTTATTCTGCAAGCTTCGGAGGAGTGACTGTCACAGAAGGATCACCACTTTGCTGAGGCAAATCAGATGCAATAGTTGCATTGTCACATTTCACTTCTGGTAAATTAAGAATGATTTTTTTCAACATCAAGAAAAATGGAAAAGTAGAAAATCATCATGTATTTTTTCAATCTTATAAATAAATCATCATAGAAGAAGTAGGGCCGCTGAAGAAAAGATAAGCTGGGTATAGGAGACAGATATGGCTCAAGAATAAACATACCTCTTGCCTTAGTTTTCAGGAAGAAAGAGGATATTGAATGTGAGGTCAAAGACAGGATGATCAGTCTGAATGGAGGTGCAAAAGAAGAAAATGCCATTTGTGTTACAAAGGCAAGTTTCAGGTAGATCAGGGGGTTCAAGACAGCAGGAACAGGGTCATTTCCATCGTAGCACTGAGAAAGACCTGGCATATGGTAGTGTAGACTTAGTAGGAAAAATTTTAAATAAAACTACAGTCAGGAGATGTACTGTATGACTGGAGGGCAGCAGATATAAAACCAGTATTTAAAAGAAAAAAAACAAAAAACCACAGTCCACTGGAGGCTTACTGATTTCATCCTAGTTCTATGTAAAGCTGTATTATGTATTTTGAATGAGGGACTCCTGAAAGACCTGGAGGTAAGTGGAAAATGGGTTAATTGGCAACTTCTATGATTCTTTTTATTAAAAGCAGATTACGCTAGATAGCTTTATTTCATAAGATGAGTTATTTCCTCAACAACAAAAAAGCGATGGATCACATGTACCTGGAAGTCATTCAGTAAACTACTTAACATGATGATTGTGAAGACGGTAGGGATTAGAAAAACTGGATGCTGTGTAGGGGGAGCTGACTCTGGGCATTGTTGATTTTCATACAGCTATTATTTAATATCTCTAGTAACTTGAGCACAAAAATAAGGCATACACTAATAACATTTCTGATGACATAAAGCTCAAAGGCATTGCCAGTCCAGAGGATGTTTTATAATGTCATGCAGGAAGAATGAAATTAATTTAGGAATACGAATTGGATTAATACAGGTGTACCTTATCTAGTCTGTGATTCATAAGCAAGATAAATAAAAGATAAGGAAAGAAATGGGGCCACTGAATAGGAAGGTTGTGCTGAAGATGGAGATAATCTAAATATGAGCAGAAAATTAAATGAATGCTTTGTCGCAGTTTTCAATAAGCAGGGGTGAGTAACAGAAATATCTGCTTAAGGAATGCTTTGGTTGGACCTGACAAAAGGAGAAAGGCAGGTGTATTAGTCACAGGATGATTAATGTGTTTAGCCACCAATGCATTTCGTCCTCGAAGAGGTGAATGGGGTCCTAGGAAGGCTCAGACCAAAAGTACTTTGTGTAGGAACCGTGAAAACATATAAACAACCAAGGGAAAAATAAAACAAACAAAAACATTTGGTAGAAGAAATAGGTCTGCTCTGTCTTTTATTTGTAGCCTCAGCAATACAAACGCTGTGTCCTTCCAGCCCTGTAGGGTTTCTTTGCTTGCTCATGTCCATGTAGCTGGGATGTGACTACCCAGCTGGCAGTCTCCTCCTGCCCTGGCTGCTCACCTCCTGTGACAAGCCAGGGACTGAAATAACCAGATCTGTGCCTTCCCTGGTGTAACCCAAAATAATTCAACCCAACTCTCCTTTTCAATTATCTCAGGCTCATTTCTATCCCTAGCACTTGGTGGTATTCTTTTTTGATTTGTCAAAGCATATTTTTACTTCTAGTCTGTTTATAGGCTTAGCTACCCTTTATTTATGTGTTTTCATTGTGCTCTTTGAGATCCTCCTTTGTGAGGTTTCTCCTGCCATAATTATCAGTGGTGAATGCCTTCGTTCAGCATCTGGCAGACCAGCACTTTCATGTATTCCTACGAATTAAGGCCTGTCCTCCCTTTGACAAACCCAGTGGCTGTTGGAGGATGTTGTACGTGTATTCTATATTGTGTTTGTTCTTAAGCAGATCCTCAGGAGCACCCTACATCCTATATAAAGAGCTTGAAACTTCTGCAAAGAAATAGGGAAGAGGGCTGTGGGCCAGGCATCTATCAAAAATGTTACTTCCCTTATTATCAGTTTTAGTCATACCTTGCTTTTCTACTCAGCAGAGTAACATGCTAAGTATGAAGGACTGTTTTTAACTACCAGCACGTGCCTTCCTCGCTTCAGAATGCCAGAGTGTTTAGCAACAGTTTTGAGGTTCATGAGCTACTTGTCCAGCTGCAGGCTAGATCCTGCCCTTCACCTGAGGGCTCTTGTTTGCACTGAGAGCAATGGCAAAGTTTGGTGCTTCATGAGAAACTCCAAAATTTTCTCTTGTCACTATCATTCTGGTATCCTGCTTAAACATCAAATACAGTAAAAGTTAAGTTTGTGTTGGTTCACATATGTTTTCCAAAATTGCTGCTGTTTTCCCAATAATCTGGAGAGCCAGGGACCTTCATGTGCCTCAAATATTTTTTTTAAATGCATAAGATGTCATTTTAAGCATTAGTATGATACCTGTCCTCTGCTAACACGGACATTATTTTTCTTCAGGTCAAATTAGGAAACTTTGAGCATGAAGTCAAACCAACATCATCACACATATATTTATATGTTCTTATTTTGTTGCCTATTGTAGTGGGTGTCATTATAGGTAAGTACAACCATGTGTTTTCAGTTTTTTATTTGGTGAAGGGTATGATCATGACACGTAAACACACACATGTTTGGGACTGTCTGGTGGTTTTCCCCTGTTCCCAGGAAGAGTTGGGTGAAGTTAACTCTGGTCTGGGTGAAGTCCATCTTGTCAGACTGCAGCACGATACGAGACAGTCATTTTGGCTGTTCTGCTGGGATTTCTCACCATCATTTAGTGAGGCAAACCAGAGGACTGGCATCACAGAATCACAACTTGGATTCATGGATTTGTAGGTCATTACTAAATTGAGGGGTGTGAATGGTTATCCCCTCCCTTTTCGCTCCTGTTTTCTAATTGTTTAGCCCTGGTTGTATATTTGCTAAGTTTGCATTTATTGTAAAAAGTTTGGAGGCTTGTTCTTTTGTTTGCATTTCTTTTTAACAAGTACAGAAACCATATCTCGTGCCTTTACTCTCTAAATAAGCTTTAGAGAATTTAACAATTTGGAGATGGGTCTCCTGTTCAAAAGAACTGTTTTTCCTGGTTAATTGGTGCTACTTTAGGTTGCTAGTAGTTGAAGTAGTTGTTAGAGTCTGTGTCTCCCTGTGCAGGTTGTACATACCGGGATGTGCTATACTTTCAAATAAAGTAGGACTGACAATTCTGGTTACAAGGAATATTTTTTATTAAACATGCGAGTTTAGATCCAGATGACGGGCTCGTGGGTACTGGCACACTGAGAGCAGTAGAATTGGGAATCATCTTGGAGAGTGCAAGTGTATATTAATCTTCTAGTTTCTTAAAATGGTATTAAGATATGTTCTGCAATTTCTGTACTCAGAATATTTTTCTTTTTTTTTTCCTTTTTAGTGGCATTCATAGTTACTAGATACAAATCCAAAGAGTTAACACGTAAACAGAGTCAGCAACTTGAATTGCTGGAATATGAGATTCGGAAAGAAATACGCGAGGGTAGGTCTAAAGAGCTTTATAGGGCTTAAGTACAGTATAATTTCTGAAGTGAAACTGTCAAGAAGCTCGCATTATATAAACATTTTTATTTTATGGCTGTTAGAATGTTTTTGTGCTGTATCAGAGTTCCCCTTTAATATTGGTGTTCACTGCAGTAGCAGATAGCACTGAGCTAATAGGATTGCATGTAATATTTCCTTCAACAGAAGTGAAAAAAAAAATGGATTGGTACTTTCCCACTCATAAGAGTTTCCAGCTAGAAAAACAGCCCCTCTTGCCAGAAAACTGTTTTTTAAAGAACATCTATTGGGGCCAAGTTATAATTGTGAAGATGATTTTGTGTCAACTGAACTAACTCTCAGGGGTGGGGGGGTGTGCTTTTTCAGGATTTGCTGAGCTACAGATGGATGAATTAGATGTGGTAGATAGTTTCGGAACCGTTCCATTCCTTGACTACAAACACTTTGCTCTTAGAACTTTCTTTCCAGAGGTAAGTATTTACAACTCTTTCAGTTGTCAGCCCAGCCTAATAATGAAAAAGCTAGGAAGGTCAGGATCAAATAACTAAAGTAAGTACTACACAGTAATTGCACATGGTTTTCTCAAGAAACTTTTTTAAGGTCAGGAGTTACCAAGAACACTTAAGGCTATATATCTCTATTGAACCAAGCCTAAATTGGTAGATAAAGCACCGCGGTTGGATTTTCAAGGGTTGTGTGTGAATCCATTTCTCTTTTGCCCAGCCTCACTAAGCTGCTTGCTTTTCAGGCCATCCTAACAAAGCTATAATTTATCCATTGCTTTTTTTTGTTCTCATGCTTTCACTTGCTATGCTATAGCTAATTAAAGTAACAGTCAGGCTAGCTAACATGCTAGCTAACATCATGACACTTCCTAATTAGACTTGTGGGATGAAGAAATGCCTCTAAGGTCGTGCTGACTTTCTACTCCAAGCTGCTGACAGAAATGGTAAGACCTTGATTCAAAGCAGTGCAGGTCAAGTGCTTAAAAACTGCAGAAGTACTTAAGAGCTGTCCAGTTTAGAGGTGAATATTTTCACTATTTGGAGCAGTTTGTGTCACTGTGTCAGAGGCCTGCTCTTGAATATTTTACTTGCTGGTTTTTTGATGATGCTGATAAGTGCATTTGGCACAGCTTTCAAAATTATATCATGATGTTAACTGGTGCTTATTGGCATTTACTAACTGGCAGAAGCCGTGATCTCAGCTGGTGGTATTTTGCTGTGTAAATGATACCAATGAGTAGAAACCCTTGGTTAGTGCTGTGGTGTTATAGCGTGTAGCTGGTATGCATGTGAGTGACCAGAGTCTTCCTGTGTTACTCATCAGTGCTGCAGCCCAGTCCTGGAGTCTTAGCAGCAGCTGCTTCGCTTCATCACTGTGTGTGATCCCACTAAAAACTCACTGTGGTAAAGTTAAACACGTGTGATGGTGCAGAATCAGGGCCTCTTTTTTTTTTTTTAAAAATAACACCAAATACCAGATACTAAGGCACAATAATATTTAACATGAATGCATAGTTTTTGTACACTCTGACTTCAGTTCTCACACCAAAGAAAACTGGGAATATCTCTTCTGGTATTGCTGTGATGCCCCCAGTCTAATTTGGCTGGCATCACTAGGACGTTTGAAGAAAGTGGACCAAGGAAACCTCACTTTCTGAATCTCTGTCATTTCAGTTTGTTTTGTTGCCTGGCACATTAGCATTAATATAGTGAGTTTATTTTTAGGAATTTATCTTTTTCTAGTGATAGTCCGCTGTCAAAACAGTAACAATCTGTAGAAGCTGTCTGGGTGAAGATGCTTTGCTTTATGCAAATAAAAAGGGGGGGAAAAAGACATGAAGTCTGCCACTCTGTTGTATGATATGAGATCAGAAAGGGAAAGGCTCCTGTATTGTCTTGGCGAGTCTTATGCCACTGTGCATCCTGGAAATGATTCCAGTTAGATTTTGTGTCAGTCTGAAATACTGATACCATGGAGGTAAACTTGCCACTATTAGCTCTCTACAGACACGCGGTGTCAGGCAAGTTATTTAATGTATCGTGTATCAATTTTTCCTGCTAAGTACTTCATGTTTACATTGCGGGAGTGTCCAAACATGAAAGTGGTAGGAGACCAGTGCTCTACTAAACAAATATTACAGATCAACAGAAAAGACAATGGGCTAGTAGATTGCAACGGAGTGTCAGCAGGGTTGACAGAATCATTAAGGTGGAAAAGACCTCTAAGATCATCTAATCCGACCATCAGTCCCACACTACCATGACCACTGAACTATATCCTGAAGTGCCATGTCCACGCCTTTATTGAACATATCCAGGAATGGTGGCTCCCCCACTTCCTGGGCAGCCTGTTTCAATGCCTATCCACTCTTTCAGTAAAGAAATTTTTCCTAATATCTAATCTAAACATCCCGTGGTGCAACTTGAGGCCATTTCCTCTTGTCCTGTGCTAGTAACTTGGGAGAAGAGACCCACCTCACTACAACCTGCTTTCACATACCTGTAGAGAGCAATGAGGTCTCCCCTCAGCCTCCTCTTCTCCAGAATAAACCATCCCAGCTCCCTTAGCCACTTCTCAGAAGACTTGTTCTCTAGAACGCTCACCAGCTTCGTTACCCTTCTCTGGACCCACTCCAGCGCCTTTCCTGTATCGCAGCACCCAATACTGAACACAGTGCTCAAACTGTGGCCTCATCAGTGCCAAGCACAGGGGCAGGATCATTTCCCTACTCCTGCTGGCCACACTATTTTTGATACAGACCAGGATGCTGTTCTTGGCCACCTGGGCACGCTACTGCCTCCAGTTAACCAACACCCTCACGTCCTTTTCCATCAGGACAGCTCTCCAGCTACTCCTCCCCAAGCCTGTAGCGCTGCCTGCAGTTGTTGTGACCAAAGCGCAGGACCCAGCACTTGGCCTTGTTGAACCTCATACAAGTGGCCTTGGCTCATTGATCCAACCTGTCTAGGTCCCTCTGCCTCCCTACCCTCAAGCAGATCAACACTCCCGCTCAGTTTGGTGCCATTTGTGAATTTAGAAAGGGTACACTCAATTCCCTTATCCGAATCATCTATTAAGATATTAAACAAGAAAAACTGAGCCCTGAAGGACACCACCACTTGTGACTGGAAAGGGTTGAAGTGACAAACTGCCACTTCCCTCGTCAACCTCATGTGTTTGAGCGTACTCTTAGCGTACTCTTTCTGCCTTCCGGTGTGTTTGATGCGTTTTGTCTCATCTGTTTAAACGTGGACATCAAAGCTGTTCTCTGAGTGTCTTCTGTAGTCAGCGCAAAGACAGGCAGCTCAAGAAAGTGATTCATCCCACTTGCCTGAGACAGCTGTCTCAGGATGGGAGCAGTTGCTTAAAGAAGTAGTCAGATACCTAAAATTAAGAGTGATGGACCTCATCTTCATCTAGAGCTTCTCGCTTCCTGATGCTTCAATTTTCTATCTTTAGTCTGGCGTGATAGCTTTTGTTTTGTGCATATTAAATGGATATTACATCTATTCTTAAAATATTCCTTATGTTCAGCTGGATTTTTGCTTGTTAAAGTTGGATTATTATTTCTGTTTTCCCTCAATATCCCACGCTGTTTGGTTTAACACTACCATGCTTGTTCCCTGTTCACAAGCATTTTTAACCTTTAATATGGATCTGATTGGTTGACTCTGTGTGTGTGTCTGTGCGTTGGTTGACTCTGTGTGTGTGTTTTATTGGTAGGTGGTGTTAGGGGTGCTGAAGAAGTTCTGGAAAAAGGGAATAGCCAGTGGAGGAAGAGGAAGAACAGTATGGTAGGGGAGAAGAGAACAGGAGGCGTGAGGAAATGCAAGTATGAAAAATCAGATATGTAGATAAAAAATTAAATGTGAGCTGGCAATGTGTGCTTGCAACTCAGAAAGCCAATCACACTCTGGGCTGCATCAGGTGCAGCCAGTAGGTCAAGGGAGGTGATTCTCCCCCTCTGCTTCGTGAGACCCCACTTGCAGTGCTGCATCCAGCTCTGGGTCCCCAGCACAAGACAGATGCGAACCTATTAGACTGGGTCCAGAGGAGAGCCACAAAAATGATCAAAGGATTGGGACACCTCTTCCATGAAGAAAGCCTGAAAGAGTTGGGGTTTTTCAGCCTAGGGAAGAGAAGATTCCAGAGAGACCTTTCAGTATAAAGGAGGCTTATAAGGAAGACCAAGAGAGACTTTCTCCCCAGGCCTGCAGTGGCAGGATGAGGAACAGTGGTTTTAAAGTGAAAGAGGACAGATTTAGACTGGACATAGGCAAGAAATTCTGTTTGATAGCGGTGGTGAGACACTGGAACAGGTTGCCCAGAGAAGTTGTGGATGCCTTCCCCCTGGAAGTGTTGAAGGCCAGGCTGGATGGGGCTTCGAGCAACCTGGTCTAGTGGGAAGTGTCCAAGGGTTTGGAACTAGGTGATCTTTAAGGTCCCTTCCAACCCAAACCATTCTGTGATGCTATAAGGAAAGGAGGGGCTGCCAGCACCACAGATAAAGCAGATGGTGATAAATGTTGCTAGTGTGAATTTGTTGCTGCTTTGGGAACACACAGCTGTGTTGCGACCCTACAGGCTCTAAGGGTCAGCCAAGAGGCACTGACGAGGTATTTGAGAACTGGGAGCTTCCCTTTGTTTTGAGAGCTTTTGCTAGGACTGTCTGTGTGGTGGCACCTGTGCCTCTCTGGAGACTGACAGCATGGACCTCCTGGAGAGTTCATTAGTGAACATTCATAAAGTGCCATGAAATGAGTGGAGGCAGATGAACTCAAGTGTCACTCTGTTACAGAATCCTTGTACACCAAAGGCTGTCATTGCCGTCCAGGAAGGCTGCAGCACCCCTTGCACACCCACACGTTGGCATATGAGGGCGAGAAACAGCTTTTCCTGCGGAGCGTTAGCACCCGGCAGGGCTGGCGCGCTCGGCGGCACAGAGTAACACATGCAGTAAAACTGAAGTCGATACCTTTCAGTATTGAGAAGATCTTTGAGAGTTCACTTTTTAGTGAACCTTGGCAGCACCTTTGCAGAAGCTATTGTGTAGTTTTTATATTGTAGCCACAAGAGAAGCCAGCATTTCCTTTGTTTTATTTCAAGTTGTGTGCCATCAGGAACATGCTTGGCGCATTTAATGTACATGTGTTAGAAACTTCTGGTGTACATAAGAATGATAAATGTCACCTGTCTTATGTTTTAGTCAGGAGGCTTTGCATCCATCTTCAGCGAAGACATGCCACAGGTAAGTTGATGTAGTGTGATATGCTTTAATTAATAAATACTTTTTCAAGAGTGTTTGTGTCCCTTATCTCAGTGTTGTCCTAGAACACATCAGATTGTATTTCCAATATGTTTCCTTTCCCCCATGAAAAAAAAAATGAATTTGATATATAACATGCTGTTACTCCATGTTAATTTTGATTTATGTGAATAAAATAAACAGAATCTAGTCATGGGAAACAACAGGCAACCTTAACTATTGACATTAATTTGTGTATGTGACAGAAAATGTAAGCTCTGCATGTGTGTACTCTTATGCTGTACACAAATGCAAATGCATCTTTGGTGAAATCCTGAGACCCATGAAATAAATGCAAAATTCCCACTGATCTGAATGAGGCCAGGTTCTTATCTCATATGTTGCTTACCATTTTTCTGAGCATTAAGAATCCATCATAGCCAAACTACAGTTTGCTTATTTTTGTTTAACTATTCCAGAGCAGAGACCAAACGAGCAAGGATGAAAGCTTCAACATGTTGCATGCTTTAATTTGTAACAAGAACTTTCTTGTTACTCTCATTCACACCCTTGAAAAGCAGAAAAATTTCTCTGTGAAAGACAGGTATAGTATGATTATGCTTATCATCTTCGAGACAAAGAATTAGCAGGAAAACCCAACAGAAATTGTAGCACACAAATGTAACTTCTGCTTCTTGCAAAACAAGCTTGCGCTACTCCAAAACATTTTTCCATCTTCTCCATCTGCACACACTGAGGAAGAAAACACATTGCTGTTAAACAAGCTATTAAAGAAAAATCGGAACGTTTGTACGTGTAAACAAAGAGGCAAAGGAGCAGGAAAACTCACTTCAAAACTGTAAACACTTCTTGCAGTTAGATCAACACTTCTACAGTTTAGAAATGTTCTATAAGTGAAGCAGGTGGTGTTCTGCAGAATTAAATGTAGAGCCACGAATTCTGTGTTTAAAAAATAATCACAAGAGCAGACGGACTTGCATTTTTTATGTTTCTTTAGAGATCAATGGACAGTTTCTGTGCCTGAGGAGGGAAAACTTAGGATATGAACTGCACTGAAGTGTGTTTCATTTATTAAAGATGACTAGGAAGATAAATTCCAAATATTATAGCATTCCTTGTTTGTTTTGTTGTTTTGTGGGTTTTTTAACAGGTGCTTGTTTGCATCCTTCTTGACTATTGCACTACAAACTAAGCTAGTTTATCTAACCCATATTTTGGAAGTGTTGACAAAGGACTTAATGGAGCAATCAAGCAATGTACAGCCGAAGCTCCTGCTCAGACGAACCGAATCTGTGGTAGAAAAATTGCTGACAAACTGGATGTCTGTCTGCCTTTCTGGATTTCTCCGGGTATGTGCACATCTTTTCGCTATGTAAGATACACAAAGAATTTTTTTAACGGATTTCTTGTGTAGGAATTGTTAGAGGGATCAGTTTAAAGCGCTCAATCTAACTATTAACGTTATTAATGTGCGCTCTTCTGGTTTAGGTGGCTTAGCTGTCTGTTCCCAATGGGATGTAGGAAAGAGCAGGTCTGTAAGTGATGATCATGTCATTTATTTGGCTGAGATTTGGGTAATTTTACAATTCTGGCTTTTTTTTTTCCATGACAAATGTTCATTTCCGTGTGATATATTGTGATCACACTAAGAGATTAAGAGCTTGTTAAAATGCAGCTGTACCTTTCTGTGCAAGCAGTTGGAAAGCAACCATGTAATGGAAATGTAGGGAATACTGTCTTCTGGAAAACTAAACTTCTTTCCAGACTTTTTAAGCTCCAAACAGTATTGCAGACTGAAAACTAAATTACTTCAGTTGAGCATTTTCGTTCATTTTACTGCTTGTTTATTTTAGCCCGCTTGGTAGCATTTCATTTTTGGTTTCAGTGCTTGGTTATGCTCTGTCTCTCTTACCAGTGTGATGGTCTTGCCCTGTTGTATCACTCATATCAGTCCTCACATTAATACAGAAGCAGAATTGTTTGAGGCTCAATGGCTCACACCCATTTCCTTAAACCCCAGGAGGGCGATGAGGAACTGTCAGAGATCTGTTGTCAATAACACTGGTCATCTTTACAGGGCTGTGCCAGCTGTAGAAATAGTGTCATGTGGAAGCAAAGATCCACCCTTCCTTTTTGAGGTGCTCTCGTAGAATCATAGAATTGTCAGGGTTGCAAGGGACCTAAAGATCATCTAGTTCCAACCCCCCCGCCATGGGCAGGGACATCCCCCACTAGATCAGGCTGCTCAGAGCCCCATCCAGCCTGGCCTGAAAAGATGGGGCTTCCACCACCTCTCTGGGCAACCTGTGCCAGTGTCTCACCACCCTCATGGGGAAGAACTTCTTCCTAACGTCCAGTCTGAACCGATCCATCTCTAGCTTTAATCATTACGTGACATCCTAAAAAGCCCCTCATCAGCTTTCTTGTAGGCCCCCTTAAGACACTGGAAGACCATAATAAGGTCTCCTTGGAGCCTTCTTTTCTCCAGGCCGAACAACCCCAACTCTCTCAGTCTGTTTTCATAAGAGAGGTGCTCCGGCCCCTCTGATCATCCTTGTGGCCCTTCTCTGGACACGTTCCAGCATGTCCATATCTTTCCTGAAGCCGGGGTTCAGGCACGAGAGGGAAGCCCCAGTTTCATTCCCTCTCTTGCTGACACACCAATGTACATCCCACCACCTTGCTCCTGAGGTTGTTTTTTTCAGGGACAACAAGGGGAGACGGCGATTCAGAAGCAAACTAATAGTTAGCTTTTTGTCTCACGAGGCTGAGAAAGGAAGAAATAGCTGAAGTATGCGTGTGAACACATGCGCCTCTCACCCCTGCCTGCTCTTCGGTGGAACTAGGAAGCCGCTGCCAGGTGGAGTAGGAGCAGCTTGCCTGTAGGGTGCTTGTGCGCAGCAAGGGGCTGGGAGCTGTCTTGCCACACGCTCCAGCTGTTCCTTGCGATTTGCATGAAGCTTTCACAACGAAAAGCAAAGGATGGAGGTTAAACAAATAACTAGATAAATCTACTCAGAGGGGTTTTCTTTTCTAATTGCAAGATAACAAGTTAATCATAAGGAAATAACTTAATTGGTTACACTTGGGGTTTTTTTGCTAGTTATTCATGCTCATTTAATGATTACAGAAAATAAACATGTTCCTTGTGTTTGTTTTGTGTCCTAGGAGACAATTGGTGAACCTTTCTATTTGCTAGTGACAACCCTCAATCAAAGGATAAACAAAGGACCTGTTGATGCGATAACTTGCAAAGCGCTGTACACGCTTAACGAGGACTGGCTGCTGTGGCAAGTGTCCGAATTCAAAACAGTGGTATGTTTCCCAGCTTGTGTTCCCTCAACTGCAATGTTTTCTCTTTTTCTAGGAAGCTAAATTAAGGCTCGTGGACACTAAAGTGATGGTTAAGTACCCAGATAATAAAATTTGTATTGCTGACAACATTTCAAGATGCAATAGAGTTTTACTAGCTGGTATTTCACCAATATACATTTCACAAGTAGCACTCACTCCTCACTTCACAGCATGCCTTAATCACCAAAGGTTAGATTTAATGAAGTCTCAGGGTATTAAAATTCCTTCTTATTTTGAAGTGTACTACACAAATATAAACATATGCTTAGAATTTAAACTAAATTACACTTTTCCAATGAATGAAAGAATGGAATGCAGAGGCTTTATTTTTCTATTGTGTTTACTTGTGGCTAATCTTCAGGCAGCAGTAATTTACTGTGGGTTTCCATGTTATTAGCTCCAAATTAGCAAGGTTACAGTGTGGTGGGTTCTAATTAGTTGCTTGGTTAAAAACAAGGTATCTGGGAAGCCTAGCTAAGTTTCTGAACTTTTCCATCCATTTCTGGCCTTTCTCAAAGCAACTACAGTTATATCCAGTATTCTTTAAAATCTGGAATTCTCGTAATGATTGTTGTTCTGACACTGAGAAGAGAAGGGACAGCAAGATTATTGTGCTTTGGAGTGTGTGAAAAATGTGATTTTGGGGGGAGAAAGACTGAAAAAAGGTTTGCAGAATAACGAGAGCACTTTTTCCCCAGAATTTCCAAGCAATATTGAGTCTGAAAACTTAAAAATTTCCATTTCCAGTCATTTCCATAGCTTCTTTGCTAATTCTTAACTCCTGGCTTCTAGTCGGAGTTACCAGACATACTTAGGAGTACGAGAATTTTGAGTGAATAGTGGCCTTCAGAGTTTGGGAGCAGAAACTGGCAGGGCAGCAACTGCAGTAGCAGGGACACTGCAAGTGCTAGTGACTTTGAAGTATTCAGCCCTTTTCAGAACACATGTCCTGAGCTTCAGGTGGGGCTGGAGGTTCAAGGTCTGCCCATCTTCCATTTTTGCAGCAGGAACCTGGTTCTGAGATGCCAGATACTGGAGTAGACTACATGACCCTGGAAATTTTGGCTGGTCAGCCATCTGTTGGACTTAGCTCACTGGCTTATGTTGAAAGCTCACTGAAATGACAGCCCTTCTGTGAAACTCTTTTGAATTGTCATTTTCTGCTGAAGGCTCTGGGACTGACAATTTTGTAGTCAAATCTTACAAGTGTTTACAAAACTGTTGTTGGAAGCTTCATTTGAAGGTACTTCAAGCTAAGTCACCACAATGTGCATTTGGAAAGGGAAGTCTGCGACGAAAAGTGAAACTTGTAATACTGTATCTTTGGTTTCCTTGTTTGTGCACTGCATTTTGGGATGTGTTTGGGATCCAGAGTAAGTTTAAATATATTGCTATATATATAGCCGTAGGATACAAAACCCAGTAGTTATGCAGAGCAACAATTTCCAGCAAGCTCAATATGCCTGTTACTAGTAGGCTGCACAGGAACATCTGGTCCCGTGGAATTGATTGACTTTTCTTATTTATAGCACAAATTCAGATTGAGAGCACCTTGGGGGTATAGCTGACTCTGAAACTGCTGAGCACTGCCTTAAATACTTCTCCTAGTGCTACTTCTATGCGTGCAGTCCCTGATAAGGTCTTGTGGGCAGCCTGCAGTGGAGGGGAGAGAGGGGAAGTGGTGTGAAGGACTCGGTATCAGTGGGGAAGGCTGTCTGTGGGTGGATGAGGAACTGAGAGAGCAGATAACCTCTCTCCAACATAATTTGCTGCCTTCATACTCTGTATTCCTGCTTTTAAACAGGAGTTTATGATACTGTTACAGAGTTAACAAGCCAGCTTTCCCTGCTGAGGTCGAGCAGTTTATTGGACTTAGTTTAGGAGTGGCTGAATTTTCCCCTTAAAACTGTCAGAGGAGAAGAGAAGATCCTGCAGTAAAATTGGAGAGATGGAGCCCAAGGACTCTAGTTCTGACTGGGCAGGGAAACAGGTTTTTTTAGTGTTTTATCTAAGATTTATGCTGGAAGAAATAACTGTTCTGTGAAGGAGATTTAGGTGCAACAGGCTGGGGAAGTAGGACAGCTGTGCACGTTTTCTCTTCAAGAATAGCATTTAATAGAATCATAGGCTACCGGGTTGGAAGGGACCTCAAGAATTATCTAACCCAACCCTTTAAGGTGAAGAAATACAGCTTAAATTACGTGGCCCGGCATACTGTCAAGCTGCGCATTAATAGGATGCTGAAGTGGAAGGAGTCAGCTTTTCTTCTCTCACTAACGCGACAGGCACTACAGTGACTTAGAGGACCAGTGAGCATACAGACAGGGAGCGAAGGATTTTTTTCCTTTTTATTGGAAGAAAATTTCTGCCTAAAGGATTGCAGGTTTTGTTTTCTAATTAGGATGAATTCTGAACTGAGTTTTCAAATGCATTTGCACATTTGCTCCCTGCAAGTACGTTCTGAGTCTTGCAGTATTTTGAAGGTGTTTTATTTTGCCCCTTCCCACAGCCCTACAGTAGCAGTACATTAAAACCTACCTGTCCAGAGCAAAGTATAAAAACATAGCCAAAAAGAAGGTGATACAAAGATGCTGATGCACATCTGCAGACACTCATTGTCTAGATTTTTAAGCTATGAGGCACTTGAAAATCCAGGGGTGCATCTGGCAGGGAGTTCAACTCTCAAATCAGTGGCAAGGCACAAACAAGGGCGTAGGCTCTCTGCACATGAATCTCTCCTTTCAGGATCAGGGCTTCAGTTCCAAACCAATAAAAGCAGAATACAGAGTCCTAAAAATCAGTGGGAGCTTCACAGGTCTTCTCTCAAACACACCACAATGAAAAAGAAGAAGAAAGCGAAGAAAGAAGCAATGGGTATAAAGAAAGAAGGAAGGATGGGAGAGATTTTCTAAAATTGTAACATGAAAAAAGAGAACTAAGAAATATGTTGGGTTTGAATTTTATTAAACCTATTCCTTGGCTGGGCCTCATGCCTTTTTGTAAAAGGCCACAGACCTTGGGACCAGCCAACCCCCTGCTGTTATCCCTTTCTGCTGGAAAGGATCAAATATTGAACAGAGATGGGCTGCTGAAGTAAATACTTGAGCAGAGGAATTGAAGGAAAGCACTGGTCCAGTATGAGCTGGGGAGCTGTGTGGTTTCATGCTGCGCTTCTGTTTGAGTACGGAGAAATAAAATAGCCTTTAAAGAGACTTGGATATGTCATGGAGCCTTTTCACAGGCTGAAGAAGCGAGCCTGCTTTCTCACAGGCAGACAAGCAGCTGCACCCCTCGGTGGATAATTTGCTCAATGACTGATGAAGAAGTGCAGCGCACAGCTGACTGTTAGCATTTCACTGAAGTGATCCATTTTAAATAGGAAAGCTACACAATGCCAGCCTGGCATGGGAGAAGTTCTCGGTGGAATCTCTTCTGTGGAAAACCAGAGGAGACTCCTTCATGTGATAGGCCTGGTGCTCCGGCATTCTTTCGAATAGTCACTGCTTATTTTAGAAAAAAAGGGAATTTGGGCTGTTGAATTACTTGCTGAAATGAGTTGGCATTTTTAGATGGGAAGAGATGATCCAATTCACCCGTTCAGTGGACAACCTTTTATTGAAAGTGAAGCGAAGTCACATGGTAGAAGGTCATCTAAAGTGTTCAGCTGCTTTATGAGTTAAAAGCCGGGTGTTAGAAGACGGGGGAGGGCTGCAAGGGAGTAGAGCAGAGACAGGGAACCCAATCTCCTAATAAGACGCCGAGGTTGTGGTGTTATTCAGCTCCCTTGGTGGGAGATAAGGAAGCTATAAAAGCATGTGACATATGGGGATTTTTGTCAGCAGAAAAGGACACACCAGCACTCGCTAGGAAGTGAGCAGGGCAGATGTTGGCTACAGGAGAGTCTCGTGGATTAGGTACAGATTTGAGTACCGTGTGGTGGCAGCGAGAGTACAACCCTTGCTTTGCGTAACGCTCCTCTAGGCTAAATTTAACTCCTGCAGCATTTTCTATGCCAACTTGTTAGCTGTTCTATAACCTCCTCACGGGTAACTGTTCCAGCTGCTACAGAAGGATCATGCAATCAATGTGCTGTTTCTTGTTTGTTGTATTTCTTAGTCTGGGAGACAGAAAAGTAGGTTTAAGACAGGTTCGCTGTGCTGTATGTCATGGTGCTGTCTCCTTTACATAAATGCTCCAACTTTTACCAATCAAAAGTTTGTCTTGTTTTTTTTCCATCTGTCTGATAAATGGAAATATGTGTTGTTCAGATGCATAGCTGAATAGAGAGCAGGGTGATAAATAACAGCCCTTGAATATCTTAGATTATTTTTCTTCACTTCTAAGAAAATATGGTATTATCACATTTCTTTATTAAGCCACATCTCATTTGTTGTCTGCTATGGTTATTAACAGCTTTACTGTTTAATTTTTTGAAATTCATTCCCAGGAAAACTGCAAATCTGTAAACCTATCTGTAAATATTGTCTTCAAATGTCATTATTTCTGTCACTGCACGAGTGAAAACATGCTTTTAAAAGTTGTTCCTGTTCTTTTAGCTAGATTTCAAGCTAGTTCCCATACAAATAGTTGCAAATGCTTGCCTTGCTCTCCTTTAAACAATTCTTACAACCTGTGTTAAGCCATTGCTAAAGAGCACTGTGACTTCCCTAATTTCTAGTGCATGAAGTCTCAACTCTAGATATTATTTGGTTGAATCACACATCCTGCAATTTCCTCCTGAATCTTTCCCTGAGTTAACTTGTATTTGTGTTTCCTTTGCAAAGTAAGAGAGCTTAGAAAAGGGCCTGATGATGTTTTCTCATGACTTTCATGTGTCCTCCTGCAATTTCTCTTACATGTTTTCTGACCTCCAGAGCTAATGATAAAAGGACTTTCATAATTTTACAGTAGTTTCTGGTTCTTTTCCCAGTTCTACACTTCATGTCTGAATGCAGTGATTGTGACTGTCAGCTTCTGATTAATGGTTTCTAAAGCCAGAGACTGTGCTGTCAGACAGGTTGAATCTGATTTATGAAAACTCGAGCTACAGAGAGAAGACTTAATAATAATTGGCTTTCCTTGCTCTCCATCAATTGCTTCATCACTTAAGATTAACTTCTGCAGGAAATCATATCAGCAAAACTGACTGGCTCTCTTGGCTTAGCGATTCGTACGTGCTTAATTATTTCTTCCCGTCTGACCGCTTCTTTGAATCATAAAGTGTTGTTATTATCCTCACATTGTGGGTACTTTCGATTAAGGAGTCCATAAATTACTTGTATTCCACCTACATAAAGGACTGCTTCTCTCTTTTTACAGTCCTGTCAACCTACAGTGAGTTGAGCGGGGATGGGAGGACTCTCACATGCCAATAACCAAAGAAACTGTGCATTTCTATGCAATCTGTGTGAGGGCATGTACATAAAGGGAAACACAGCAGAGAAAAAGACCATTTCTCTTGGCAGTCAGAAAGGAGGAGGAGATGAAGGAGAAGCAGGGACAAGAATAATGCAGTGTGGGAATAATGTTAGGAGGAAAGGATCAACTAAAAGGAAGGAATGCTTCCAAGGATGTAAAGACAAATCAGCATCAGTTAAAGTGTGAGTAGCTACTCCAAAAAGATCAATTCAGAGACTAGAAGAGAGAAAATCTGATTAAAAGGAGTTTTCCAAAGACAAAATATAGTTAGTCCCTGTCCACATTTTTATCCTACAGGAGCATGGCCTCAGGGCAGTCAAAGTCAAGGACAAGACTGCTGTCTGCTCAGTGTGTCCGTGGGCCTAACCAGGCATGACTCCCTCATTCCTGTGCCAATATATTTTTTGCTAATTTTCCGCATGAAATCCCAACCTGAGGCACGGCATCCAGTCTGCTTCTCCTTCTACAGGCACAACTCCCACATATCCTCCTGTTCCATGCTGTCTGTCCTTTCCATGGACTCATTTTCCTCAGAGTTAAACATTTCAGTGTCCTGATCAAGTTATTCTCAGTTACTTCAGTTATATTGTAGTCTTTGTTAAATTCTGGTCTTCATAGTTCTGCCACTCTGTTCTTAACACTTCTTTTGCTTCTGTAGAAACAGTAAAGTTAGGGTATATCTCATGGGACTACTTTTTTTCACCACCAGTGTGTTGTAGTTTCCACTCTTGCTGGGTAATAAAGCAGAAATATCATTCTACAACTATTAATAACTGTCCATTTTTTTAAGAAGAGAGAAAAGTTGTCCTTGTAGCAACCTGGACAAAAGTTCTTTCCTTCACATGACAGCAAGGAAAAAAAAATAAAATTAGTTCCTTCCTCTTTTAATGATGACGCCTTCAGAGAGTCACACCTGCAGCCCTCTCATTTCACTCAAAAGATACATGTTATAACAGTAATGTCCAACAGCCAGAATAGTTGAAGTACATACATTTTCCTAGGCCACTTGCAGTCAAGCACCAGCACCTAAACTACTTGTTTTAATTCTGTCCCAAACCATCTCCAGCAGAACATCTCTATCTGTGTGGTTGGACAGTGATTTCTCTGCAAGGAGCAGGCTGCGGTGCTGGAAATGACTGCTGTTATCGCTCGGCACTGGCAATGCTGTGCTCATATCCCTTTTCCCCCGGCTTTTGGCATTTGATCTGCCTGACCTGACCAGAAATATGACCCAACTTAAAAGTTCCGTGGAGATGGTCACCCAGGCTCATTGGCAGCTCCCTCTGGCCCAAACTCACCTGCTGCGCAGCCCAGCCACAGCCCAGCTGACGGGTTGTGTCCTGGCTAAGAGTAGCTCTGAGCTAAAGGACAGGGGTGTTGTAATTGCACAGATAGTGGGAGTGTTTGACTTGGTGTAATAACTGATAGAACAATCACACTTTTCTCAGCGGATCTGGACCGCCTTGGCTTGTCCACTGCAAAGCGCTTTCCCTTTCTGCTGCTTCTGTGGTAGCCCTTTCTCTGCTGCCTCTAGAGATGCGACTATATGCAGACAGACACTGATGCCTCCAGGGGAGGTGTGGTTTTTTGTATAATATAAAGGACTTGGCATAATCTGCTGCTGTAAATATGCATTTTAACACAGCTTCCTCTCCACTCAAAATCAATCATGCTTACCATGACAACTTACTTAGCAACCTTATCAGATATCTCTAGTTGCTTACAGTTTTGCTTTTAAGATCTAGGGGTTTTTTTAGCACGTGCATTGTAATTTTCCTGGTCTTCTGACTTTTTTTGGTAATTCAGTGGAACAGATTTTCACAAAAGCAGAATACAAAACACACTTTTGGAAAAACATAGTTATGTACGTTGAATATTTGGACACGAGGAATTCTAATTGCTTCATTGTGTAATTCCTTCAAATAATCTTTGCTTGAAATAGTTTTAATAATAAATATGCTGAAAATCTCTCAGGTTTACTGTAGGGAGTTTGCAGGTTTTCCATGCCAGGTGTTCTTGGTAAGTCAGAATAACATGTGTTTCTTTCTCCAGACAGTGAACGTTATCTTTGAAAAAATCCCAGAAAATGAGAGTGGAGATGCCTGTCAAACTATCCAAGTTAATGTTCTGGACTGCGACACCATAGGCCAAGCCAAGGAGAAGAGCCTTCAGGCTTTCCTTAATAAGAATGGCTTTCTCTATGGCCTTCAGCTGGATGAAGTCGGTCTTGGTAAGAGAGTGTCACTGTGTTACATTTTTATGGAGTTCACTGGTCTGTCTGTGGAGTTTTCTTGTTAGGAATTCCTACCTGTGGCTGTGATTTTTTTTTGGAATTTAGGCAGAGCATAGCTTTTTAAAGGCATTTCTAGGGAAATACTAGATCATTTATGCTTCCAATTTAAACACTGGAACTACATCTGCTTCACTCCTGCAAGTGCTTCAACATGTAGTTAACAAACACATGTTATTTATTGGACATATACAATTTATATGTTCCTTTTCTAGATTAAGTAAGGTGACATGTACAGTTGGTTGATAATTTTTGTAAGCAGGTGGGATAACAGATCATGATTACAAAGTATTTTAGTCCATACCTGCAGTCCTTTCTACCATCCTTCTTTCCAACAGGCCTACAGTTCCCTTGATCAGGAAATAAGGTTTATTTACAGTCAGATTAGGTTTATATAATAGTTTTCACATGACTCATAAAGATATATACAATATCTATTGATGGAAATAAGGCTGTTCCAGAAGATAAGTTGAGCCACCATTTCTTGTTAGTTATTCAAGAGCCTAAGTTTAGACAAAAGCCTGTAGTTGCCACCATACCACATCCCACATGCTAAAATAGGAAATCAAACTCAACACTGGTGTTTGTCACCTCCTGGATTTGCTCCCAAAGATGCTGATGTTTCTTTACCTTCTCAGACAGTGTTGGTGAGTGATAATTTACCTTCTTATCTATGTTTATGTCTGCCACCAGGGCTAGACCACCCTTCACAAATACTATGTCAGTCTTGTACAGCTCATTTTAGTGATCTATCAGAAGTGTGCAACAGAAGAGCAGATCAGCTCTTCCAAAAACTCTGCCTTGACCAACACAAGGTGAAGCACCAATAGCCTGCAGTAATGGAAGTAACCCAGGCTTTCACTTAGAAAAACAATTTGTCGTATACAAAACCACTCTCATGTGACCTACTACAAGGGCAGGAAGAAACAGCTCCTTTGGGAGCTACTGGTTCTGAAATAATGGGGTGTTATTTTTCTTTACAAACATCTATATGATGAGAATGCCATGGAGATATAATTGTTTTCTGTTGCTGTTATACTGCAGAACTTCTGTCTGAGGAGCAGCAGAGAGAATTGTTAGATATTGACGGTTCCTCAGAGGTGTTGGAGGATGGAATAAGAAAGCTGAATACCATCGGGCACTACGAGGTAAGCACGGAAGCCATACCAAGGAGTTGAGAAGCAGTTTCTCCCCAACTCACAAATGCTGTCTGCAAGGAAGTATTTTGACTGACCAAAATCTTGAAGACATAGCTGAGCATCATCAACAGAAGGGAAGCAATGTGTGACACAACTTTCTTGCCAATGAGTCATATGTTTTCCGCTACTTTTCAGAGGTTTGCTTGTTGCAGGGTTGCTTGGTTGAGACATACCAGGTAAACTGTTACTTCTGGTGAGTGTTCAGGCTCAAACAGCATTTGATTTGCAGCTATGAACAATGCCTTTTCTAGTCTCAGCCGGGGAGTTTTTGTCGCATTGTGAGCAAGTGTTTACCTCTTGCCACCTCCTATTTTGGCTATCTGAACAGGTGGTAGTGATACTTGTGAAAGGCCTTTGAGAGTCAGAGTACAAAGGACTGCTAAGTTTGCTCACTCTTCTCTTGAGACCTACTGTGTCAGTCTCCTTCCCTTTTTCTCTGTTTCTGCTCCCATCTACTGTCACCACTTGTACTGTAAGTTTTTCCCTCCGCTTGTAATTGCACCCATAAGCCAGTCATTTTCAACGCTGCAATAATCTCCCCACCACTGCAACAACAGACAGGGCTACTACTGGTGGCAGAGCCCTCCTGGGTGTAGCGCATTGCAAAAGCGTCGCAAACAGCATTGCCTGGCTAAGGAGCTCACACTGACACTAGTCAAACTAGAGGGTGGGAGGTTTTGGGGTAAAATGTGTGACAGATGATTGCTTGAGGTGATGTGGTAGCTCACATCTTGATGCTCACAGATAGATTTTGGAAAGGATACTGAGCATGCTGAGTCCTTTTAGAGAGCTTCCTCTGTTCCTTGTTGAATTTCTGAGTCCAATTCTTAACATAATAATAAATTTTTATTTATTTAGAAGTTTTGCTCATGAGTGCAGGTCTGCGCCTGCAATGCAGCATGGTGCTGAAAAACCTGCACGAGCAAATCCAGTGCTGTCCACAGAGAGGAACAAGGGCTCCCAGCAGGACTATCTGTAGTTTGGACAGAGCACAAGGCTGCTCAGATCTGGAGCAAGCTCATCTGGAGTCACTGTAAAGATATCTGCAGGTGTTTGTTGGTCTCCTTCCCTCCTAGGGAAGCAGCAGCGAACATAGATGTCCTGAGTCACCAGCTGGTGTCTTAAATACAACTTTTCCTATGCCTGTCTTGAACCTTGTCTATAGATTGACATGGCACATCCTCCCCACCAGTTGTAAAGATTTTGCACAGATTAGGACGTTGTAGTGTTGCCTTCAGAGTCTGTGCAGCAAAGGTCAACACAGATTTGAATCTGCCGAGGTATGTGCACTTCTGTCTAACGTGGTGGTGCCCTTCCTCTTTACTACAGGCAGCAGCTGTTGCAAACTGCTCCCTGATTCTAGCTGGTAGCTTTTTGCACTTCCTGAGCTCATGGCACGCGGTGGCTCCTGGGTGCCGTACCTCGTGGCAAATGAGTCTGCTGCAGCTGGTCACTATCATCTCTGAGTCTCTTTATCCCAGCCCTTGTTTTCGTCTGAGGTTTCTGCAGGCAAAGGCATGTTAGGTTGAAGGTTCAGTTGTTTTTGCAAAGCTGTAACTACACTAATTATAGCTTAGCAGCTGCCTTATGGAAATTGTGCTGGGTATCTCTGTTAGATATTTTAGTTCACTTCTTCTGACGCTAACAAAATAATGTATATTTTAGGCAGAAGCTTAGTGGCAAGTACCATCCGTTAGCATATCTAGTTTATTTTCTTGTGTGCGTATTAATGCAAAACAGAATGTACAAGGCGTCTAAACAGCAAGAAGAAGGAATACTGCGTACAGAGTATGAGGGTAGTAATGTTGCCTGAGGAATTCCAGCTTAGATTTCAAAAGTAACTAGAGTTTCGTGGCAAGCCTGAATTTTTCTTTTTGTTTGCCAGCCTTAAATGCTAGAAAGTAACCAGATTTTTGAAACTGGGAAGTACCGTCAAATCTTTTTAAAATACCGGAGCATGAGAGTTGTGGTCTAAAGGTCGCAGAATCACCAGTCACTCTTGAAAAAGCGGACTTGGTTTCTGCATTCTCCCAAGAGGGTCATTGATTGGATTATGTATGCAGGCCTACACTACTGTTTGCATGAGAATAACCACAAGCCTTGACAAGAAAGTTGCTGGTTATCATGATGTCCTATTTCCCGTGCAAGAAGAGAGCTAGAGATCTGCTTTCAGATCTGCCATCCAGTCACATATCCCCAATTTCTCAACACGTAGCAGCATCCTGTGTTCCAGGAGTAGGCATAGTCCCAGAGAGTGAATCTGAACGTGTGATCCAGGAAGCTCGCTGACAAGAACTGGGTTATGGAGAGGACAGGAGGCCTGGAGAACAGGGAAGAGGCGTAGAGCCGCACTACTGCATTTTCTGTTTTGCAAAGTAGCTGCACTCCACATTGTGTGTACCTGAACAGAACTCCCCTCTCCCTGTTTGTCCTCCTTGAAAACATACCTGAAAAATAAAGGTGTTTGAGGTGGGAACACGGGAGCAGCCCACCATGAAAAGTGATTTAGGCAGCAGGACACAAAAATAAGAGCTTTTTTTTTTTTTTTTAAATTGGATCACATTGAAAGAAACAACAGGTGTGGCTGCTGCAGTAATGCTAGAGAAAGGAAAGCGTATTCCATTCAACACCAAAAGCATCATTTGTCCCAGAAATAAATCCAAAAATGGAGGGCTGGGATCAGGGCTGCACTGCACCAACGCCTCTGGTTCCTGAAGGGATGCACGGTTCTCCTTCTGAGCTCTGCCCGTTGCCCTCAGGACAGGAGCCAGCACGTTTCAGCCCTGAGCTGCTCTCCTGCTTCTTGGAGTGAAGGCAGCACGTTGCCCACAGCGCTCTGGCAGGGCTGGTTAAGCTGCTGGGGAGTCCTGATCCTGCTTACGTATCTTCAGGAGAGCTCTCCGGGTGTTTGTGTGATCTTGCAAGCTAGCCTTCAAGCATGTTCCCACTTCTAGTGTGGTTTTAAAGTGCTCTGTGTTATCTGAAACAGCTCAGAAATGCTGTATGATAAATGGAAACCCTGCAAAAAATCATAAAATAGATTGTGTTTATTTTCCAGGAGCAAGCGTAAGTGAAGATTTCTTTGGCGCAAGACACAGCTTTTGATAGAGTATCTCGATGTTTAAACTAGTTTCTCACTCCAGGCTGGCTGCCAAGTTTTAAAAAACACTAAAATTATTTTGGCAGAGATCCTTTCCTAGAACTGGCCGATTGTTTTTGTAATTATAGAGGGAAGTACACTAGCACTTGGCAAGACTTAACACTTGACAGCGAGCAGTGGTCTAGTTCTCAGTGGGAGCTGGTTTTGAGTTACTCTTTGACAATAAAAGCATGACTTGCCAGTTTCTTTTAAAGATAATAGTTAACCATCCTGGCAGTACGTTAAATTCAGGGAAGGAGGGGGGTAGATTTTTCCTAGAAATCCCAAGGTAACTAGATACGGATCTTGACCTTACAGTCCATGAGTCGCAAATATTTTACTCAGTTTGAAAATAGCTCTTGGGAGCACTGGGCTAGACCCTCCAGGGAGACCCCTCGGGGAGAATGGACTGAGCTGGAAGAAAGGAGGCCAGAAGAGAAATCATCCTTGTGTTCCCCTCCCTGCCTCACCTTCCCCTAAGATCCAGTTGCATTGGACAATTCAACCTGGTCAATCTGTAGAACAAAGACAGGTGCAAGAAGCAGTGCAAAGCAGTACGTGAAAATGAAAATGTCCAAATAGGGCCTGAATCAGAAAAATCAAAGAAAGGGAAAGGTCTTAAAGGCCGATTTGTCAGAAGAGCTGCTTTCCCACCTTGTCAGGTAAGGCTAAAAAACTGCAGCCACTTCCTGTGCCCGAAAGCCCAGCCCTGGCTGCCCACTGGGAGCTGTGTACACCGGGGTGAGAACAAAGCGGACTGGCACGCTCCTGCGCTGTCATGGATTAAAGGATAGAGGAAATGAAACTTTGCTTTTGTTTCAGCCTGGTCCGTTTGGTTTTGCTTTCAGATTTCAAATGGAGCAACCATAAAGGTCTTTAAGAAGAAGGCAAATACGCGATCAGGTAAAAAATGAACTGCAACTTCGCTAATTTTTTGTGAAGAATGGTCTGGGAGTGCAGAGAGCTGAGCTGTGGCAGGTTGTATCAGGTCAGCAAAATTGGCACTTACATGTAGCTGAGCTAAATGAAGAGCCGTGTTTTCCTGGCTCTGGGCCTCTGGCAGGCACAGCAGGCCTAGGAGGAAAGAAGTCAAAGGAAAGAAGGACAGAAGGAACCACAGTCCTCAGAAAGTGACTGCTTAAAGAAACAGACTCACAGGCAGGAAAGCAGAGCGGGGAAACCTGGGTGACACAAAGTGGTAGCTGGTGAGACCAACACAGGGAACATGGCCTGCTCCGGCACCCGGCATCGTGCATCACGGATGTAGTGGTGCACTCTCCAGAGACAGGAGAAAAATGTAGTTTGGGAATGTTCCTTATTTCTGAAAGCTTTGACTCTGCTGTCTCAAGAGTAGGTGAGGAGATAAAGGGTGCTTATCAGGGGTCAATCTATCTCACCGCTGTGATGCAGGTTGCTCCAGCCCAGCTGGTGTGTGGGGAGAGGTGGACTTTCGGTAGCCCCCGTGCCCCTAGCATGGGATTCACCTCAGCTTCAGAGTAGCCGTCTGAATTAGGAGAGCTGTGTCCCTGAGGGACAAGTTGCTGGGATGGCATTGCTCTCTCCCTCAGCAAGAACAGGATTATCTGTTCTCAGCCATTGCTTTCAAGCCTGACCTCAGCCCGCCTGCACTGAGTGCTCCGGCACACCACCATCTCCTCTGCCCTCTGCTGTCCTCCTTTCAGAGGAGCTGCCGTTTGCTGCCAGCTTAGCCCAGCAGCAGCCGGTGATGATGATGCCCTAGCTTGGTGGCCTGGGCTATAGCTTGGCACCGGTGGAGGTGAGCCAGGACGGCTGCACTTCTCAGAGGCTTCCCCTACACTGCAGGCGGGAAAGCGTGATGCAGAGCCTGCTCGCTCGGCACCCTGGCGTGCACCCCGCTGCACAGCCCTGAGCCCAGCAGAATCCTCGAGCTTGTAGCTGTGCATTTCATTAATGCCTGTTTGCTCTTTGCTTTCTGTTGTTTAGATGTGGACTACTCGGATGAACATTGTCATTTGGTGAGTTCAGTCATTACACTGTTAAGGGGTAGATTTAATACTGAGCTGTATCTGTATCTGTGTCTGTGTAATCTCTCTAATCTCTACGCGACAGATTTTACCAGACTCGGAAGCAAACAAAGATGTAAAAGGAACCGGTCACAAAGGAAAGCAAAAATTCAAAGTGAAAGAAATGTATCTGACAAAGCTTCTGTCGACCAAGGTAAAAGCTTTGTTTTGGGGGAGTGCTGATGTTCGGGTTGGCTAATTTGGCACAACAGAAATAGAAATTAAAGCAGAAATTACGCAGACTTCCTGCACGTATATCAAATGTTAAATGAAAAGGTAGCTTATCAAATCACTGTGCTAACTATGGATTGTGACCATTTGTGGAGATGGACACATTTCAGGTTTTTCTAATGCTGGGTCTCGAAAATTTTCTATTACTCGCACTCAGTAAGTACAACCTGTTTTTTCTCACATTAAAGAAAAAGGTAGTTCCTGAGTTTAGAGAAAGTGAGTTTTGCCACTGAGTCCCATAGAGCAAGAATAGTCCCTTTCGGAGAGACAGCTTTTAGAGTTTGCTTAGCTTAGAAACAACGTCCATGGCCCGAGTTTCATAAAATACTGCCCATGAAATGAAAACATCTGTTAGAGTCTCACATTAAGCATTCAAAATAACTAGATTAATTATAAAAACAAGGTCCTTAAGATTTATAATCCTAATTTGTACAATGCACATTTCTTAGGAATAAGCCCTACTCACTCTCTCTGGTAACGTCATCTTGTTTCTGACTTACTCAAAAGGGTTATAGAAGTCTTTGCAACAGCTTCTTACTTAAAGTATTAATCAGTGCACACAACACTGAAAGCTGTGAGATAGAGGTGGCCTGAAGGGATGATGATTGTGGCCTTCTTGTATTTAAAAATCTGTCAATCATTATTTAATGAGATTGTTGATAACATCTAAAGTAATTTGGGACGCTACACAAAGCGAGAGTGAAGACTGGTCATTTCTCATTAGTTGTGGAAAGTAACATAAGCCCTCAGGAACTGCTGGAGTAAACTAGTAATATCTTACGGTAGAAGACTGAAGTACGAAGTAAAGATCAGGCTCTTAAGAAGCAGTCCTTCTAAAGGGCCGGTTAGCTCAGTGGTTTGAGCGTGGTGCTGACAACAATGACAACACCGAGGTTGCGGGTTCGATTCCCACTCGGTCCCCATGTGTTGCCTGGTCTAGTCGAGAGGTGGCATCCCTGCATGACAGGGAGGTTGGATTAGATGATCACTAAGGTCCCTTCCAGCCTCTGCCATTCTATGATTCTGTGATCTTCTTCTCCAAAGTGGAATGCTGCTCTGCACAGATGTGATACTCTTCACAGTGAAATTCCACCCATGGCATGCCACACACCAGAGGAAATTGCGTTGAGCCATTTCTCTTCTCTCTCCCTCACACCGACACAATTGCAGGGTTTGCCACATAAAATGAACCGGCCGGCAGCGCATCAAGGCTGGGATACACTTAAATCCTTCTTGCTGAGAAATGATTAGGCTGAACTGAGCTTCAGAACAGATGTGAAGCAGAATAGCAAAAAACAGTATTTTGCTTCTTTTGGCTCTACTTAGGAATATTCCATAGTGATGTCAGTGAGTCTGACAGCAAGCAAACTCTTGCGTTTTTGAGCCAGATAGCTTCACTTCTGGTTCAGAAATGCCCAGTTTTCAGTTGTTTTCTCTAATATTAGTGTCTTCAAATGCTGCCCAAAGCTGTTACACTGGAATTAAACCAAGCACCGGAGTCACTTGGTTGTGAAGTGTTGAGGAGCGTGTGTTCAACGTGTCACAGATGGCATCGTGAAGACCAGTGGCCTGTAAAACTGGCTAAACTTCTGCTCACCTGCCTCTTGCTTCTAGCCACAAGTTCCAAATGCCTTTAGCAATGGAGCCAATGGTATCCAAAGAGTTGATGTTGTCTTTGTTGGAATGAGTGATTCTTTCTACCTATGATTTATTACAGCCTTCACCACAGTTCTCATGTTGGTAAAGTGACAGGACATGTGACATTTGAAGGAAGCAAATTACAGTGTATTTAGAGTTTGATTTCTGTTATTGACTGTCTTGTTTGCCAGTAACCTAAGGCCTAGGTGTTTGCCACCAGTGATATTGAAGTTTTCTGTGCATGGTTACACTGGGGCACACTCTGCTTTCTGAGACAAGGAATCCTATTCTTCTCTTGTGTTATAATAGCACTGTTCATTTTCTTACTTTCCAGGTTGCAATTCATTCAGTCGTTGAAAAGCTCTTCAGGAGCATTTGGAGTTTACCCAACAATAAAGCACCTGTTGCCATCAAGTACTTTTTTGACTTTCTGGATGCCCAGGCTGAGAGCAAAAAAATTACTGACCCTGATGTGGTCCATATATGGAAAACCAACAGGTACGCTCAGGTGATATGTGCAGGAGTGTGTGCACTCTCTGAAAATGTAGTTGCAAAGGTGGAACAGGTCACTGTGGTCAGAACAATAAGATTTTGGCATGTCTGAGTGAAGATGTGGTTTGGCTTTGTCGTTCCCAGTAATTTCAGTGTATTGATTGAATACTGATACAAGCCACCATGACTTCCAGGACTTCTGCATACTGGCTTCACACTCAGAAAGAAGTATCTGCAGGTTGGGAGCACTATTTGAAGATGGAAGGGTGACTGACCGACGTGTTTGCCCTGTAGTGTCTGTTCCCCCATCCCTTTTTTAACATGAATAAGCAGCCCAGAAACCTGCGTCTTTCCATGAGTGTGCTGCAATTAAATGACCATGTTAAAGCGGTTGTGCTACCCCAGTGGTTGAATTTAAGGATACTTGTTCTTTCTCTGTCCAGTCTTCCTCTTCGCTTCTGGGTGAACATACTGAAGAATCCCCAATTTGTCTTTGACATTAAGAAGACTTCACATATAGACGGCTGTTTGTCTGTCATCGCACAAGCTTTCATGGATGCCTTTTCTCTGGCAGAGCAGACGCTGGGGAAGGTAACGCTGCCCTTCCAGTCCTTTGCTAACTTCTCAACCAATGTCTTTTTGAACTGGGTAAGGATTCAGGGGATGAAGTCTTGCACCCACTGACATCGGGAACAAAACTGTCAGTGGCCTAATTAAGCTGGGTTTCCATTCCTTGTTGCTCTGTCTCCCAAGACTTAGAAGAATTCACCAAAGGAGGCAGATACAGCTACTAGCATGCCACATTTGCAGTTAACTTGCCACTTGCCTTCTCTGCAGTTTGTTTCTGCACAGTGCGTTTATAAAATATGTGGAAGAGGGTGAGAACTGGAAGATTTTAATGGAAACTTTAAAGACTTTTTAAACAAAGGTCTTAAAAGCATTAACATTACTTGATAAGTAGCCCAATTTTTGTCTGCTGCAGAAAATGCACATGGTAAGCTAGGAGGTGTGAGGATACTTGAAGGAGCTCTGAAGTTTGAAACAATTCCTTTCACGTGTATTAGCTGCTCCCTTTTTATATGCAAAATTATTTGCCCTAGTGCAGCATCCAGAACTCTGGGGATCTGAAATACTTTATTTTTCCTGAGGATATTTTCCTTTTCTTTGGACCAAAGCAAGGAGCATTTGTGTATGTGTGTGTGTATATATAAATATATAAATATATAAATATGGGCCAATTGCCTATGTAATTGGAACAGACTGCTCATCTGTTAAAGGTAAATAAGTAATGTGCTTATTTATCTTATTTTAGGAGTGAAGTGTCATGAATTAAAACTAATTGAATCACTTACTTGATGGAAGAACTGCCAATGAGCATGTTCTGTTAGGTTACTATGCTAAAATATCCACTGTGAAGTACTGTTCATACAACAGCTCCCATTAGCCATTTGAAAAGGGATGCCGAAACCTGATAAGGGTTTGCAGTGTGGTAAAACATCTTATGGCCTTTTAGTACTTAAATGTATTTGCTTCCATGATCTTTAGCCTTTTGTCTCTTTAGCCACTTAGAAAACAAACATTTACATCATTTCATCACACAGTGGAAGCAGCAGTGAGGAGGCATCACGTGATTGTGTCATTTATTCCCCAGAATTTAAACTAGAGCAGTGACAGGAAACTACCAGCCCCCACTTTTACATGCTGAAAAACGTGGTTTCCAGGTGGGGCTTCGGCTCCTGCAGCAAATACCAGCATTTATTTCCTCGAGTGAGCAGCAAATATCAGCATTTACTTACATGCCTGAGCCTCGAGCTGCCCGGTAGGTCAGTGCTGACCTGTGCTGTTAAAACCCTGCGATAAAAAAATGAATCCTTTTGGCTGTGCCTGCCCGGCAGCCAGCTCTCTGTGCTCTCAAACACCTGAGGAGAAGGAGCAGGAGGGACCAAAGAGTTTTAGAAAAGAGAAGCCCTGCCCTGGCAGGGCTCTCTGGCCCTTGGGGAACTTTGCACAGCGCTGCTGTGTCCCATACGTAAATGGGGTGTCGGCCTCAAGCCCTTTGGTTCAGCTTTCACAGTCTTTGGGGAGCGGCGAGGAAGTAAAGAAAGAGAAATACATCTGAGGAGCAAATGTTTATCACTCCTTATGACAATAGAAATAATTACACGGCAACTGTCATGAAGCACAATGTGCTATTACTGAGGTCCTGCATCTGTTCTTCATCTTTATTTCATAACCTCTATTCCTTGCGTATAACCACCACAAAGAGAAATGAGTCACACAGAGAACAGACACAATTAGATGCAATTAACTATGTGGAGGTGGAACCTTAGGAAATCTGTGCTGTGAAAATTGACAAAGCTTCAAATATTTCCTTTTAAGGAAGCACCAACAAATAAGCTTCTCTACGCTAAGGACATTCCACTCTACAAGAAGGAGGTGAAAGCGTACTATAAAGCCATCAGGGATCTGCCTCCATTGACCACTTCAGAGGTTGAAGAATTTCTAACTCAGGAATCTAAGGTATGGTCAAGAAGCAGCAACGTTGTTTGCTTTCGTGTTAAGATTTTTCCAAAGGAGAACGATCTGACTAGGACTGTTTTCCATTTTAGAAACATGAAAACGAATTTAATGAGAAAGTGGCCTTGATTGAAATCTACAGATACGTAGTGAAATATTATGATGAGGTAAGCACCTCTGCTATTCCTGCTTTAACCCCTTAATGTTAACTTGCAACCTCAGGCTCAAAGGCTGGGCTTGACTTGGGGCTGGCGTGGCGTGTGACTTAATGGTTGCCACTTCTGAGACAGCCCCTCGGGGATGCTCTTCCCACTGAGCTGTGTGGGGCCAGAGCAGTGCAGCCCCCGCCCCCGGGGTGGCTTTTGGAGGGGTCACAGGCCAAAGGTTTGTAAATGCACCTTTACTTGTCTCCACTGTTTCACAGCGACAGCAGCAATAAAATTCTCATGGCAGTTTTGAGAAGGTTCCTCTGTAGTCTAGACTTCTCATTTTACGGTGTTCACAGAGTATCTGCTAATGCCTGTCGCAGCTGCTGTGCATGCGCTCCATTTCCCTGAAGATTCAGAAATCAGATTAGACTGTAGCACCAGGGATCTTGATTTAACAGTCAGTGCAAACACCTCAGCGGAGCACACTCAGCCTTCCAGCAAGAGGTGTCTGCTCCTTTCCTGTCACAGCCTTCTTACACGCTGCTCTAATAGTCTTTCTATTAAAAAAGAAGCTATAGCTTCCAGTCCCTGCTACTGCTAACAAAAGAAATCTTTTCCTCAACTGGCAGTATTTAGTCACAGCCTATCTCTAGCTTTTTTGTAAGAAAAATCCCTGCCCTCTGCTTTGCATGATAGGATTCTCCGCTCCATTTTGCTCGGCATCCTTAAGGGAGGCTGCGTGTGCCTGCGCAGGGATAAGAGGCAGCTGGGGTGTGTTGCCTGAAGGCCTCCTCGCCACTTCCAGCGGGTTGTCTGGGTCTCCCAGCAACCAGACCTTTCTCTCTGTCATCCCCAGCAGCAGCCCTTGCCGTAATCATCCAGCTCTCAGGCACCTGTTACTTCGCTCACTGCTCCCGTTCTCTAACACCTCAAATTATCTGCATTCGGCATCAAATCTTTGCCTCTTAAAAGGAGCTTGGGGTGACACTCAGAATGGCATTGCACTTCATCAAGCTCATTAAAACTGTTGACATGGGAGGCTTTGGAATATTTTCCAATCCTAGTGCCTGCTTTTGGTTTTTTGAAGCTAGTACTGGCTAAGCTTACTCCGTTCTTGGAGGGAAACCCTCCTTCACTCTTCCCCTTCTGGCTTTTTTCTGGGACCAGCTAAACCTCATCCATTGTTCACAGAGACCTCAGTCAGTTTATAGAGTTGCCAGAAGAGAGTTTTCAGGCAGCAGCCGTACTCCTTCCCCTCACCTGGGCCGGTGCCAAGTGGACCAATTAATAGAAAAGAGGCAGTTTATTGCCCTCAGTTTTTAGGGGAGAGGAAAAGAAATAAAGTATCACTTGCAAATCTGCTTTTGGGTAAAACTGGAGAACCAGCCTTGCCTCATGCTTCAAGAGATGAACATGTGTTGGATTTGTTTTGTTGTTGGTTTGGGTTGGGTTTTTTTTTGCTTGGCTCTGCCATTCTTTTGTGGATGTGTTGCAAATCCTGTAATCATAATGACTTGAAAGGAAAACTACCAAAATAAAGTGCTAAAGTCAGAAAAGAATGTTTACATATAGGCAGGCATTCAGATGGATTTTTCTGCCAGCAGTTGTTGGAATGCAGAAAAGCAGGCTTTAAAAACCAGCAAGTGAAGTAAGCACTAAAAAAATTACTCTCTTTTTTTGCTAATTGTTAACAGATTGTCAACAAACTCGAGCGAGAACGGGGGTTTGAAGAAGTCCAGAAGCAGCTCCAGCAAGTAAAAGCCCTGTTTGATGAAAAGAAAAAATGCAAATGGTTTTGAGCAGAGCACTGACTCATGGCGTCACTGTGGGGGATTTTAAATTAGCGCTGCTGCTCCCAAAACCGTTTTGACTGACTTATATGTACAGGGTTTGAAACATTTGGACACTCTTCTCCACTCTGACCATTTCGAGTAATGTCTGCGTTTGGGAATGAAGTACGGGCAGGGGTAGATATTCAGCTGTGGACGTGTGAAAGCAAAAATGAGTTTAGTGTTGGCAGGGCCAGCATTTTTAGGTACTTGAACTCACATATCGTTTAGTTCAAAAATACTGCCTAAGTAAGCTTCCCGCTTACTGTACATCAGGCTTGCGGGAGATGCGCAAAACACAAGTTCAGAGTTGCCCGAGTGAACTTGTAAGTTGCTTTAGCTCTTTTTTTTTTTTTTTTTTTTTTTTTTTTTTTAAGAAAGAAAGCTGATGTTTCGCCACATCCTTTCAGCAGCCTTGGCAAACTGTGAGGGTGAGCTCCGGCTTCAGAATACGGGTCAGCAGCAGTTTCCTTCCTTCCAGACAAAAGTACGCTTTTCCTGTTCGAAAACAAAACAAAACAAAAAAAAGCAACACAGCACCAAAGTGACACTTAGGACAAGTGTGTTTAGAAGAAAAAGTGGGTCTGAGGTTTGAAGGTCAAATGCCACGTGGCAGGACTTGCCTTCCTTAGCTTAGAAGTTCCACGTGCAAAGTGAAGCCGACCACTGAGCGGGGCGGGGGAGGCTTATGGAGACAGGCGCTATAGGCCGCCGTCAGTCCGTGTTTACATTTCTACCTTCGCATCCTTAAACAAGCTGTGAAACACTCGTGAGCAGCTTCACACTTGCAACCTCCGTGCAGCCACGTCGCATCGGACCACCGGTGTGATTTGCTGAAGCAGCTGGCGGTGGCTGCTCTCTGGTGCACAAACTCGTACTCAAGTGCACGAGTGGCCCGTGTGTCAGCGCTCACAGTCCTGGCCAGGCTTGCTATCCGTGTACAAGGGCCTCACAAATCTAAAGCCAGCATAGATATTTATAATTTTTTTCAGGTTGTCCACACAAAGGCTTTGACAGACAGAGTAAGAACAGGAGGACTGGTGTAGCAGCTGACTCTGAGAAACTGATGAAACCATGATCGCTAGGGTTGGGGGGTGTGGAGGGAGGGGGTAACTGTCTGCCTTAGTCCTGCTGGGGTGTTTTTTTGAGGCTTGGCCATTTTCAGCAGAGGGCATCCATTACATTTGCATTGGTGGCTAAAAGGAGCCCAGCTGGAAAGCGGGCACGTGGCCGTGCTGCCGAGATGAGGCTGGCCCAGTGGCTACTGTGCAAAACCATGGAGGAGCAGCTGTGGCTCTGGCTCTGCCAGCTCAGTCCCACCCTCCAGTACAGAACTAAGACATTTTGTCACCGTGGCTGCTGCTGCAGTCGCGCAGAGGCACTTGCTGAGGCTGCTGCCTGCCCGCAGGTTTGAGGCAAGGCGTTGGTAAGACAGAGCTACGTTTCCACGTGTATCCAAAGGGGTCCACCCCTGGAGGTGATGGACATCGCACAGTGGCCCACGGGAGTGGGAAGAGCCATCCTCTGCCTTGGGTGCCCTGGGCTGTGAACGGCAGAAGCGGCCCAGGTGTGGTGTAGAAATCCTGGGCTGGGGCCGACGGGTGACGCCTCCACAGGGCTCCTGGGCCGAGGAGCACTCAAAACCATTTACTGCTGCTGTGGCCACAGGAGAGGCCAGAGACCGTGGAACAGGAGAGCTCGCGTGAGCTGGTTTGGCTGGTTTGGTTGCAAATGGTGTCAGAAGCTGGGCGCAGGCCCAATCCCACGGCACGTGGCCGGCCAGCTCCGGCGGATGCCAGCCACGCTTCAGGCAGAAGCAGAAGCAAGGCCGCCTGTTAAGGTGGGGAAAAAGAGCAAACACAAAACGTTGCCTACTGGTCTGCCCCCTCCATACCATGTGATTGCACAAGTTGTACCTCTTGCATCAGAGAGGGCAGCCACCAACCCATACTGTGATGGCTTTTTCTTTTTCTTTTATTTTTTTCTTAAATTCAAGTCTTACACTTGCTATTAAGTTTACACTTTATACTTGATGGAATGTATGGCTTTGTTCAGGAAACTGCACTACAACGTTGCAGTGTTTTCAGCAGTTCTCTTCTCTGCCTGGCACAATATATTTTGGTAAGTTGCATTTTAACTGGAAAAAAAAAAAAAAGAAACAAAACCCACCCCAACCCTAATCTATTTTGCCCTCTGTCCTAAATGAGTGGACTGTGGCTTGAGTAGCACTTAAGCTTAGCGTACCTGTACTTAAGGGCTTGATTTTTTTTATCGTTCTTAACCTAACATTTTAAAGCAGCATCAAATAAAAAACATAAATAAAAGCACAGTAATTAATATTAACGGAGGGGCATGAGCAGATTACTCTTTCCAGTTAGACGGCTGTCTCAGCAGTTCCCGTCGACTTCAGGTGTTTGCTGGCAGTGCATTTGAATGAACTGTGATACTTTTGTTCAGCAGTAACCTGTACAGGCAGGAAAAAAACAAATCAACTTTTCTGCTTGAAAAAGCTGTAAAATATAATCTGTTTGTGTGGGTCTGATCCTGTGAACTTCACTGTATATGTTTATATGATGAGGAAACAAAACAAAAATGAGTCCTATTCTGTATTTGTACTACTGCTTGTTTGCTACAATAGCTTTAATGATTTCTAGAGATTAAGTATGTGTTGAAGCAGGCTCTGAAGCTTTAGCCTACGGCCTGGAATAGGATTATTGCCTTTTATTCAAGCCTCCGAAACAGCGTCACTCTGTTAGTAAACCATTTAAAGTCATGCTGGGACTCTGTAACCCATCACGTGGATCTCACGAAGTGATGTGAAGTATAATTAAGTGATTGTGGCTCTTTTGGTAGGTTTGGGTCAGCGCACAAAACATTGGCACACCTTCCGTATCTGCCATTCACCGTTACTGTTACAGGGACAAAAAAAGAACCACCTCTGACTAAAGCTGTATTACAGCAACCCAAGAAGTCTAATCGCATTCTCCGAAATGAAAGCAGACTTCTCTTTAACGTATTTTCACATGTTTACAGGCAAACTGCTACGGCAAACAGCGTATTTTCTAACACTAGCTTATAGAGCATTATTTTGCAGTCATCTAGTTTAAAGTCAATTCTTACTAATGTGTAAAGTAATTCCTGTTGTACAGAAGTTAACCTGTTGTTTAAAAAAAAAGTGCAAATGACAAATACATGTTGGTGTTTGTATGGTTTTATCTAGAATAAAACGCATTTGGAGGTTATTTTGCGTGACTTGTGTACTTTAAGCCAGCTACAAGAAAGCAAGCACGACTTGTAGCAGGGAAAGGTGTGTATGATACCGGTGCCCGCTGAGGAGTGCCACAGCAGCACCGGCCCCACAAGGCTCCCAGTTTGACCCAGTGCGTGTTCGCAGCCGCTCCATCACTCTCAGGTCGGGGAGGACAGAAAAAAGGAAGGTCACCTCACTGACGCAGCCTCAGGTGAGGCCAGCGGTGGCTGCTGAGCCCGGCCTCCTCACAGGGCCCCAGCGGGTCAGATGCTGTCATTGCCCTTGGAGTACGATGACACTTTAAAAAGGTAAAAATGTTAAAAGTGAGGATAACCCAGTAACTGTTCTTTCAGGAGACGGTGCCACAGGGACAGGAAGTCGACTCTCTTGAGCAAAAAGCCCGAGGTGGGCTGAGAGAGGGAGCCCACAAACCAGTGTGAAACCATTGTCCTTCCTCCCACTGTTTCCCCCGGGTGCCCTCCTTCTCCTCTACAGCTCCCGGAGTCCGTACAAGCCGACATTGGATGGAGCTGAGGCAGGGGCAGGGATGACCACCCGGGGGGGGGC